TTTGTTCTACAAGTATAGTTTTTATTTATTATGGGTAAAAGATTCTACCAACATTGTGATGATAAGTATCTTTGTGAATGTTGTACTACTAGATAAGTGATTACAATTACCGCAACTGTAATTGCATCTGTATTATTTTTTATTTTTGGAGTCCTTCTCCTTATTATGTATTTAAACGTGATACGTGATAAATAAGTGCCTATCACTATAATGTTATAGACACACGGTAGATTTCCAATCGGTCGTTTTGCGGGACATTCGCTTAAAATATATTTTTAATTGTAAAATTAAAATTTTATCTTGTTTACATTCTTTTAATTTAAAAAAGATCGTTGGTGTTTTTATAAATTTATTTTAATAAATCAAGATGTTATTTTATTTTGAAAAATAGTTACCGACTTTGTATTTATATAAACTAATTATAAAAAATAATAGGCGGATAAGTCAATTCAAAATCCCGACCGAAGGCCGAGGCCTGCGAAAAAATTTTTTTAGCAATTTTTTTTCTACCGCAATTTTCATATTTCTCCCGCACAATCCAAATTTCTCCCGCAATTTGAAAATTTTGACTTGGCAACCTTGATCCGCAGTTAAGAATTTTTTTATAATGAATTTTTTCATCGATGTATTGTCGAAACCCATCACAATCACTTAATTTGGTTCTTTGGCAGATCCTTTTTATTTATTTTTGCCAAATCGCGCATCTAAGTTCTTTAAACCAATTTCTTTTTTTTATATCGGGAAAAATATTGTTATTTAAATTTATTCAAGTTTTTATCCTCTTTTTCAAAGCTATACATTAGACGGGGCTGCAGGTTGCTTTCTTGAGAAGTTATGTATTGGTTTATTTTTAATCTTATACTAGTTATAGATTTTTTAAATGGTATATTTTTTAATAAAAGTGGAATTTCTGAATTGAACGACATCTGTAAGTATTATCCATCGTAAAGTAAAGGTCTTTGCCCCCGTGCACTGATAACTTCAATCTGCCCAAAAATTGTGGGTGGTTTCTCTCTAGGATTACCCCCAAATTTCCTAACCTAATTAATTGGGATTTAAGAGAGTTCAAACGTAGCTATTTTATATAACAAAAGTGTATATGTGTTTATACCACGTATCACGTATTCTTATATGTTTGATTATTATCAAATTCGATATTATTATTGTTGGGATAGTTGAATTAGATTTGTAAAGAATTTACATATTTAATGTAAATAGAATAATTTCGATTTTGTATTATATTAAAATTATTATTTTAGTAAATTTGAATGTTATTATTGGGAAAATATAGACAATCAGAAGATTTTTTTAAAATATTTGAATAAGTAAATTAGAGATTATTTTATTCGTGAAAAGGGGTTGATAATTACTATAACAATGATATATAATTTTTCGATTTTTGATTTGTTAGATTTTTTCATTTTATTTTTATTTTTAATTTATTTTACGTGCTTTTAAATTTATTATAATAAAATAAATGGGGATGCGATATATTACTAAAGGTATTTTAATTTATGTGTAAATTATCTTATAGTTTATGTTTAAAACCCACAAGTGATTATTATGAACAACAAATTAATTTATTAAATAATATAGTTAATCAAAATTAATCTAAAATAACATAAATAAAGCTAAAATGTAAAATATAAATGAAAATTTAACGTAAAAATTATAAAATTTTCCTTTTCCTTTTCTTTTTCTTTTTCTTGTCCATTTCTTGAATTATTACATTTTCGATCTCACTATTTATACTACTAAAATTTATATACCATCAATAATTATTTCATATAATTGTCATTTAAATTTCTTAAAATTTAAACCTTTCAATTACCATTACAATTACTACAAATTTTAAATTCAAATTAATTGTTTCTTTATAAATAACTTCCTTTTTTTCAATACACATATTTGACACCCCTTCCCTTAAATCGCCTAAATTCATTCTGAACTACCAATACAGGATAGCTAGCTATATATGATGACTGATTCTTAGACATTGAGTTATCCCAATCTATTGCGAAAGAAACTCCTGACTACTTCTTTTGCCCATAATGTCTACGATAAAAATCTCTTATAACGATAAAGATCTCTTATAACGATAAAGCTCTTTTGAACGATACTGACCTTTTGTAACGATACTAACTGTACCAATCTTGTAACAATAACAATTTCTTGTAAATATAACAATTTCTTGTAATAAAGATCCCTTTACGATAACTACTTCTCGTATCTTAACGACCTCTTGTAACAATAACGATTTCTTGTAATTAAGATATTTTATACGAAACTAATTCTTTTATCTTAACGACCTCTTGTTTGATAACGATTTCTTGTACTGATAACAATCTCTTGTAAAGAATTTCTTTAACGATCTCTTATACTTATTTGTAACGAATTTCTTTTAGCAATAACGATCTCTTGTACTGATAACGATCTCTTGTAATTCTTGCTATAGCTACTAAAATTTGCTCTTCCGTTTCTTCTGCAACCATTTTCCTGGATATTGATACATTTGTTTTTTATCTTGATTCATTTTATTCTTTATCATAAGTTCTATGGTCATTTCAAAAATCCACTCTCACCTGTTTTTTAGAATTTCCTATTTTGAGTTAATTAGACTGAAATTTTAGGTCCATAGTACATAAATAAGGCACCAGTTGTCTAGAACACACAAGTGATTATTATGAACAAGAATTGAAGATCACAAATTAATTTATTAAAATAATATAGTTAATCAAAATCATTCCAAAATAACATAAATAAAACTAAAATGTAAAATATAAACAAAATATAACGTAAAAATTAGAAAACTTTTCCTTCTTCTTTTTCTTGAATTGTTACATTTTCGATTTACTACTAAAATTTACATACCATCAATGTTTCATATAATTGTCATTATATTTGCTTCTTACAATGATGCCAGATAATGTCAAGCAGATCAATAAAAGATGATATTAAGATTTGGAAATTCATGAAGAAAATAGGCTAAGAAAGTTTCTAAAATCGGCGTTCACATTATATAAGAATTTTGGAATGATGTTGATATAATACGAGAAAATAATTTAAAGATTTGGTTTTTAAAAAAAATGATAATTAGAAATATTTTAGTAATTTTACCACATCATATAAAGGTCATATTTAAGCCAATTTTTGTTTATTTTGATGATAAACAAAATACTCTTATAAAATTTTGCACTTATGATTTAAGAACATATGTCATAAAGAATATTTTTTGTAAAGAATATGCATTCTCAAATTGTTTTGCAGGATTATAATTTAGCGCAAATACATTCGCCATAAAAAATTTGCATAAAGGGTTCGCGATAAAATTTTGTTCTATTGTGTCGCGATAAACGCTTTGCTATAAGTACAATCTCAGTATCAGTAGCTCAAAAAAAAATTTCAAAATATTAGCTAAAATGATCTTTTTTTTCAAATTTTTCAGTCTCGAGCCCCCGCTCATTCCCCTAGTGACGCTACTGGCGATAATGCATTCCCTCAAGCATGATTTAGCTATCGTGGGAATAGATTACGAATATTGTCTTCACTGTATATTTATGGAAATAAATCGAAAAATTTATATCGCGATATTATTTTCGCTCTATAATTTCTTCATGATAAACGACATTCGCCACAAAAGTTTCGCTAATGGCAATAGAAATTTTCTCAAATTGACCTAAAATTTCCCCTGTAAAAATAGATTGAACTAGTTAGATTCTTAATATACATAGAGAATTCATATAACATCATAAAAAATTAGCTCAATCCCAAAGAAATTGAATTTTATATTATAAATTTATAATATGCTTTTTAATTTATATTGTTTTTTATGAATACTTTGTATGTTTACACTTATGCAATAATTCTTAAGAATATTTTTGTACATAATCTATACTACCATCATTTAATTTTTTTTATATTTATATAAACTTTAAATTCTTAAAAATGATAATTTTTACAATGTATTTTTTCACAACATTTATTTTATATTCATACCCTGGTTGTAAATACTAAATACTTTAACATTAATACATTTGAATTTGGGTATTAGATATTGTCAATATTTTATAATCATATTCCTAATAAATTTTTTAGAAACTTTTTTAATTATCCCTCCCCCCCCCACCACCCCATAGAAAATTCTTGCGTGTTGAATATTATACGTGATCACTGACCAGTTCTTACATGTCCGGAGGGTTGGAACCGTTAACCTCCATATATATTTCCGAAAGTGGGCTCTTCATGAAAATTTGTTTGTTTTTTACCAAAATATAATAGTTATATATTTTTATATTAATTAATATATCATACACCTGTACTTTATATAGAGGAAATTTTTTTTAGACATAATAATATTTTGAAATAAAAAAAATTAGTTTATTTATTCCAAGGAATAATAGTTAAAACATATGATATGTTTTTTAAATTTTTCTAATTGATAGAGAAATGAATATTGTGAATAGAAAATACGATCAGAATGACATCTTGGCTGAGAATGAAACGGATCTTCTTTTACCAGGCTCTTCAAGCAATCTATATAATAATTCTAGACATATAGAAAAATTATCCTGGTTAATGGCAGCTTTTCTCTTAATTAATACAACAATTGGTTCAGGTTTAATTAATTTTCCAACGGCATTTTACCAAGCAGGTGGAATTAGAACAACTATTATTTTACAAATTGTTATATTAATTTTTATCTTAATATCAATGCATTCTTTATTGTATTTGGTTCATAATTGTTATCAACAACAACTTAAAACTACATGTAACTTACATGATATTTCAGACCAAATTAAACTAAATCAATTTAATTCTTATGAAAATATTATAGAATATTATTGTGGAAAATCAATTAAGGTAATTGTGACAATAGTGATAATATTTTATTCATTTGGAACTTGCATTACATATTTAATTATTATAGCTGATCAAGAAGAAAAAATTATTATATTTCTCTATGGTGATAATATTAAACCATGGTATCTAAGAAGGAATTTAGATTTAATATTAATATCTTGTTTAACAATTCTGCCATTATGTTTCTCCAAAAGCATCAATTTTTTAAAATATCCAAGTACTATTGGAGTTATAGGTATGGTATACATACCTTTTATTATGTTGACTAAATACTATCTGCATCAAAATAACCATGAACCTTATAGTTATACCCATAAAATATATACACAGTCTGATAACTTTTTCAATATTTTTGATCCATTTAATATTAACCTTTTGATGATGGGCAGACCAAAATATTTCCCAGTTTATAATATATTACGCGCTATACCTACCATATGCTTTTTGTATAATTCTCACTTAAGCATTGTCCCCACCTATTATTGTATGGATCAAACAGATAGTTCCTCTGTCAAGAAATTTTCCAAGAGCATATTTCTCAATATTATAGTTTGCTTCATTCTATACAACTTAACAGGCATATATGGATACATATCTTTTGGAAAGGAGGTTATGACTTATACAGACATTTTGACAGCTTATGACCCCAAAGATTACAAGATATTTATAGCTATGATATTACTAGCAGGTATCCATTTTTAAATTTATTTTATTTTATGTGTTTTTGAATAATTGAATCAATTTATGATTTTTTAATATGTCTCAATACTTTGTTTAAACAATCATTGAATTTAAGATATTTTTATTAAATTATTTACAGGAAAACTTGTAACCACTTATCCCATAGTGCTTTTTTGTGCCCGTATATCCATTCTTAATACTTTACCCACCCTTTCTCCCTCCTTATTATCTCGTTTTAGCTTTCTTAGCGCTGAAAAAACAAGAGAAATGGTTGGGAGGATTTTTGTCACTCTTTTATGGTTCGGTCTGGTACTATCTATAGCAACATACGTCCCAGATGTCAGCAAAGTTATACCCTTTCTGGGATCTTTCTGTTTGCTTCTCATATTCGTATTTCCAGCCCTGGCACTTCTTCAATACTTATTATCCACAAATGAACTGCAAGACGAAGAAATCGACGATAGCTATCAATCATTCACTAACGGTTCAAATTTTGGTGAAACATCCTCCCAAAATAATGAGATGATAATATTTGGCAAGGTGGTTAGTTGGATTTCAGCTAAAAAAGTCGCCTACAGCTGTTCCGTTCTTCTGATCATCTTAGGAATGCTTCTGTTTGGAATGGTTTTCACTCAATCCGTTATGGATACAATTTATTAATTCTATAATTTTTCTTGAATTTGTTAAAATTACTATTACAATTAGAGACTAATGTAAATCCTTTAAGAATCTTTTATATTTTTTAACATTTAATATTTTATCGGCATTTAAATATTGTTATTTTGAAGGGGGAAAAAGATAGTCAAAACGAAACCAAAATCTTAATTAAAAAAACTATTTATTGTTCGACTTTTTTTTTGAAATAGTCACTTTGGCCCAGTAATAATTATATATAATTGTTTTTAAACAACATAAATCACTTACATCATAACCAACAATAGTCATTATATTTTGCTCATGTTTTAAAAAAATATATTAAAAAGAATTCGTACATTAATAATATACTAACATTCTAATTTTTTTAACATGTATTTTTAATACTGTATAATATATATATATATTTTTAATATTAATAATAACTTGATGAACAAAGTATACTAAAAAGTAAAATTTTTAAAGTGCATGATATTTTATTATAATTTTTCATTCTAAATTTGCAACAAGCTATAACGGAGTTAAAGCAGGAGTTTTACAAATTGGTAATAATAAAGAACTCTAAATATTATATAGTTCCTAATGTTATGCGATTCATTTCATGTTAAATATATTTTTATCGATTATAGAGTTTAGAACCAAAGCTAGAATCTATAAACCCTCGGAACCGCATTAAAACTAAAAACTTAAAGCAGAATCTCCCCCCCCCCTCCGCTTCGATTTTAGGAACAATCTAGTTGGCCCGTGTATTTTCAAAAATATCATAGTAAACCCTGGGGATATGCCAATTTATTTTAGAAGGCGATATACTTATATATAGTCATATAGAAAAGATACTTAAGGATAAGTGTAATATCGAATATTTTTAATAAACGGAGAAATTTTAAAGTCAGTTTTTTGAGAAAATATCTTTGAAGGTCAACCCAATTGAAGATTTCTTTTATAAAGATGATCAAAAAAAATTAGTGATTTCATCATAAAAAATTTTTTATGCATAAAAATCACAAAGTATTTATAAAAAAAAATTTTTTTACAGAAAAAAAATTAAAATTTTGGGTAAATTTTTAAAATCTTTTGACGGCATGATAGGCAGGGATTCTTAATATATCTTTTATTAAATCAAAATTTATATATTATAATATTGATAAGAATATATAAATATGTTATTTTAACAATTTTATGCAAGTCAAATAATTTTATTTTCAAATAAATTAAAAAATATGGAAATGTTCTCCATCAAATCTGGTAAATAGTAGAGCTGTGCCGATATTAAATATCGAATCGGCACCGATATTTAGCGTTTTCCAAAAATATAAGATCGTCTGTAAAAACCGATCCTATCTTTTTTCTTTTTTTTGTTATTTTATGTATATTTATTTTACATAATTATAATATTTTCTAAATAATTTTTTTCTAAACAATGCAAAGCAAATGCACAAAACACCCTCTAAATTTTATTTTTTTAAAAAAAATAGATTTATAGTATTTTAAAAGTTTTTTTTATAAAAATAGAAGGAACACCCAAAGTTTTATTTATTTTAAATCTTTTTAGGTAATAACGCCAATTTTATTAAAAATTTTTTAAATATGATATCTGAATTATGAAAATATTTTACAAAAGGCAAAGATAATTTTGCAAAATGCGTTATCTGTATATTCATCTGAGTCTGCCTTCAGTACGGCAGGAGATAATAGTCCATATCGTAGAAGCTTATTGCCAGAAAATTTAAGGGGCCCTCATATTTATAAAAAAAAATTTAATATATTAAATATTACAATTTTATAATTCATACCAACATAAAATGGATATATAATTAAATATATTTTTTTTAATTATAATCTTAATTGTAGAAATAAAAATAAATTAAATGCATAATTCGATTTTTTGTATAAAAAATATTGATTTCTTAATTTTGTTCAATGGGGGGAGGGGGAGTATCAGTATAAATATCGGATCGGGTTTGAAGCAATATCGGATCGGATCGGTAAAATATTTGGATTAGCACAGCCCTAGTCAATACTGTATACAAAATGTTGATTTGAATAATAAAATAAAAGTTTATACATAATAAAATATAATTGTAAAAAATAAACAACAGTTGCGAGATTATCTAATCTGAATATAGATGAATCTTTAAAGATATAAATAGACGAATGAACACGTTAATGACAATATGTTTTCTAAATGTAACTAAAAAAACATATGTTGCATTATTAAATAAATCAATGCTTCTAAAAAAAAATTTCGAAATCCAAATCTTTGAAGATTTTTTTCTTTTTTTTAGCAAATGCCAAACTCTGATTTGTATACAATGTAATATCTATGAGATATGCTCAAAATAATTTTTTTTAACTTTAAATGAAATGACGAAATATTTGCCGAGACCGAAGATTAATTTTTGAAGCGTCATTTAAATACAAATCAGCTGGCGTGTTGACATTTTGTAAGAATTTTTAATGAAGAAATTCATAATTTTTTTTATATAAATTATTTACACGGGAAGCCAAAAGTGGCGTATCACCAGCTGATTTGTACTGATACACATTATATGAATGAATCATATGTATATAGTATATATCATTGGCTTAAGTTTACTATTAGGTGAAAGATGGGATGGGGTCAGAAAAGACGATTCTTAATTTCTAAGTATTTTAATGTTATTTTATGTAAATTGGAGGTTTGTTAGGGCTATTTGTTTTAGCCCCACCCTACGCTCGCCCATGCTACTGGTTGGCGTGAGCGAGGGGGTCTATTTTTAAAAAAATCATGGGTGGAGGGGGTAATTATTAGAAAAATGACTGGGCCGGCGTTTTGATTAAAAATCAGATTGCAAACATCTAATATGATTATCATAATTAATTATTTTTCTAAAATCTCGATATCATAAATGTAACTAACAAAATTGCAAATAAATGGGTAAAATCAGATTTTCATCTACGTCAATCTTATATTCTTCCATGCAAATCCAACATATTTTCGATATATATTTTTTTACTGTTAATTTCTTCCGATTACAACATCCTCAGTTGTCGGAACTTAGGTATTAAAAATATTGAAATTTTATATAGCATATATTTTTTAATGTTTACTTAAATCAAGAAACAATAAAAAATTTTAACACGCCCATTCTTTCGTTGCAAATCTCAGATATATGATATTGATTGTATTTACTTTATATTTTAAGAGTAAACCCTTTATTTTTTCAAACAAATTATATTGTAATAGAAGAATAAAATATTATAAATTATTTGCTATAATAAAAGTTTATATTTATTTTTTATGATTTTTAATCATCCTACTAGAGAACTGTGTATGGTTGAATCAGGTAAATATTTTTTTATTTTAATCCTATTTATTTACAGATTCTATGAACATTATATCTCAACTAGAAGATAGCCCGTCAAAAATGACGGGGAATGAAAATTTTCTTCTTACTTTTATGATAGCTGTTACCTCTTATTTGAAAATAATATCCAGTTATTATTCTTTTAATCCCTCCCACCCCCCTTCATACCAGGTTTAATCCATTAAAACTAAGTGTAAATACTATGGTTTGGTAAAATTAAATTTAAAGCTTTTACTTGATAATACCAATATTATTTGATAAATATCATTTATACCTAATATTTAATATTAAAAAAATTCCCAGGCAAAGTACAAAGCCATAATAATTTTGAAAAATTCTTCCAAGCCCATTGAATATAATAATTTTGGTAGTTGAGAACTGAAATAAAATATTTAAATAATCATAATCTTAAAAATACAATCAAAATCAGATTTTCATGGGCCTAGGTTTTTTGATCAGGCCGAGCCCAGGCTTGCATAAAATTTTTTTTAGGCCAAGTTTGACTCATAGTTAATAATAAAAAAATTCTCAAGCATTCTAGCTCATAATATTTTTGAAAAATTTTCCCCAAGCCCAGCCTAATATAATTTATAAAAATATTTTTCAAACCCAGCCTAACCTATAAAAATTTTATAAAAAGAATTTGCCCAAGCCTGACCAACCCATAGTAATTTTCAAAATTTTTTCCCAACCCGGGAGATAGGTAAATCTCTAAAAACCATATCTATTTTTTATACCCCTTCAAACAAAGGCCAACCCATTGAGACTGAGAATGAATACTATTTTTGAATAAAAATATATTTAAATTAGCTTTTACCTGAGGGCCATATAAATATTCATGTTAAATATTACACCTATGCCTAATATTAAAAAAATTCACAAGCAGGTCCTTGCACTTAAAAAATTTTCTCAAAAGACCATAATAATTTTGATAGTTGAGAACTGAAATAAAATATATAAAAACATTTAAAAATACAATCAGAATATGAAAGTTGCATGGGACTAGGTTTTTAATCAGGCCTGGCTTCCAAAAGAAATTTTCAGGCCAATTTCTAACCCATATTTAAAATTAAAAAATTTTCAGGAATCTAAGACTATATTAATTTTAAAAAATGTTTCCCAAGCTACTTCCAAGCCCATATTAATTGTGAAAGATATTCCCCAAAACCCAGGAAAACTCAGAATAATTTATTTTTTCCTTGGATCCAGAAAAATAGGTGTGATGTAGGGGTTTTTAAGAATTAAATCTGTCTAATATGTATATATTTTTTTTGCCATTTATATTATTGGGAAAATTTTTCAAAATTAGGATCAAATGAAGGGGAAATATCTGATTTACCTATCATTCTACTGGTTAGCTCCTAGTATTTATATGAAAATCATGAATACATATTAAAGTACCATGCTAAAAATACGTTCATCCTGATTTAAATTTTAAACAAACCACCACCCTTCCAAATGATTTATTACTTAGTTATAAAATATAAATTTAAGACATTGTTATTAAATTACAATAGAAAAAATAAAGATATTCTAAGTTAACAAATAATAGGAGGTTAACTTTAATCATAGTCAAATTATATATAAGTAAAACAAAAAAGTTATACATTTAATCAAAAATGTTATAAGTTATGAAAAATATACATTCTACAATTAAATTATGAAGTTATGAGAAAATATACAAAACTATGGAATGCATGTAGAAAGGCCAATTTCAGAAAAGATAAGAGAGATGCAAATATTTACTTATGCATAAAAATTACCTAATTAAGAGATATAAAGTTGTATAAAATTCAATGTGGAATGGATCCTTCTTAAGGGTTTTAACATAAAACTCTCATCAAGCAATAATAAATTTTTAGATTATAAAATTAAAATTACTAAATATATACTTTAATAACATATTTTATAAATATAGAAAATTTTAGAATAACCCCAAATAAATATAAATTTTTAAATAACACCTCATAAGATAGGAAAATTTCTGATTCGTTCCTCATCAAATAAAAGAGAAAATTCTGATTCCCCATATAATGGTTTAAATTTTAAATTATACATAAATTCAAGAATTAAAAAAGTATTTAAATAAATCTCGTACTTGGATTGGTACTTGATGATGATGCATATAAAGTTCTAAATGTATTTAATTATCTTGTGCAGGAAAATAGTTTAAATTTTAAAGTAGCTACAAACTTTGAATCGTATCTATTTGATTAATTTTGTCAGATTAAGAAAAAAAAACATTTGCCGGGGTTCGAACCCAAGTCCAATAATCCATCTAGATTTGTAAGCGAAGTCTTGCCCGACTGGGCCATAGGCACTTTCAAAATTAACGATTTTTTGAATATATATTATAAAGTGTGATATGAAAAGTTAACTTACACTAAAGAAATAAAACTTAAAATCAGCTATCACTCACCTTTAAAGTAATTAAATTTTATGTAGTTCTCGGGTATAGGCTCTTTCCCCCCCCCACTCCTTTTTAATAAGCCTATAGAGGTTTAAGCAATATTTTTCGGAATGTTGTGCCTACAAGTACGTGCGGCTTACCCACGAACGTGTAGAGGGCTCCTCATATTTTTACTTTTATACCCAAATTAAATTATTCCAATTAGATGAAATGAGGAAAACCTAGCGTAACTCTGTTGAACCTTCAACCCTAGAGGGCAGAAGCGCTATATATCACGTATCCTACTTTAATTTTACCATAAAAGGAATTGTGATTATGTAATTATAATTGCTCTAAAAATTACGATTATACATTAATTACTAATTAATTACCATTTTTAGAAAAGAAATTATTAATTTTAATTAAATATAAAAATTTTGCAAATAATTGTAATTTTTGAGTAATTATGCGCATCCCTGGTATTATTCATATACGTACAACAAATTAATAACTTTATTCTAATTTTAACAAATTGAATAATTCGTTAATCGTATTCGAATAAATTACATAATTAGTTATTCCTATTCAAATAAATCGCGTAGTTTATTATTAGTATTCGAAAAGATCAATTAATTTTTTATTCGTAATAAAACAATTCGAAATAATTCCTTATTCATATTCGAATGAACCCTCATCTCTAATGTCTCATTTATAGTAAGCGAGATTTGTTCGATGAGATCATTCGCTTCGTAATTTACAAAAGCAAGTCAATAATAGATAAAATTTATAAATAAGGAGCAAAATGATGAAATCGCGACATCTGCTTTCGGTATATATCAAAAAGTATTTATAGCTTTACGACTGATTTCGCATCGCTTGAACGAATCGGGATTATTATAAATGTATCGAAACGAATAATAAAACAGAATCTAGGAAAATAATTTCCCGGAAAAAAAAATCCCCGTTTTTTAAGATATTAAAAATAACAAAATAAATAAAATAGGATAAATAATTCCCTATAAATATATACACGAAATAAAAATCCTCATATAAACTATTTAAAAATTTTGAAAAAATTTATTCCGGGGCATTATTTTTTTTAGAATTATTATTGAGAATATTTTTTCCGGAGATTTATTTTCCGCTTACCAATAAAACCATTATACAATTTGTCGAATATTCGATTCGATTCTACAAGATATAAAAAATGTTTTCAAACACATTTCCATTAACCTTTTTTAGCATTAAGCTAACCTCGTACAAGAGAATGATTTAACGTTTAATTTATGGTAAAGGCGATTCGCTCATAGGTATAATTTATAAATACTGAGCGAAATGATGAAGGGGACAACTGTTTACGTATATTTCAAAAAGTAATGTTACATGAATTAGCTATTTTGCTAGCGATTATTATCGCAGTACTAATTAAGAAGAAAACCTTATCCCGCAGCAGATTAATTCCTTTTATATATGATTCCTCAGCATGTCTCTAACAAGCTAATTAAAAAATGTTGTTTTTTATATAATAATTATTATATATAATCAAACAATTTAAATACCAAATATCCAAAATAATCCTGATTACGAAATTTTATGTGAATATTTTTAAGTTTAAATGTTTTTTTTACAAAATATTTTTATCATAATTATTCTTCTTATTAAAAAAAGAATACAGATTAAATATTGCTATTAGACAAATTCAATAATGATAATAACTATTATCTTATTATCACTGCTACATTTTCACAACGCAACTTAAAACCATAATATACAAATCTATAAATTCATAAATTACATAAAATCATCTTCTAGATTTGAGGAATTTGTGTTTGAGACCATTTTTTCAGGGTTCATGAGGTTAACATAACTGCGTTCTTGTTCTAGCGCGACCTTTTGGCGTTCGGCCATTTTTTCTTTCTCCTTGATCTCAGATGATATCTCTTTGTTTTTTCGCCTCTCCAGAGCATCCCTATCAGAGCGGGACTGAGCGAAATCAATGGATTCTTGTATTCGCTTCGTTTTATTAAGGCGATTTATTATAAAATTTTCTCGACTTGATATTTTGCATTTTCGAACCTTTTGGGTTAAAAAAGTATAAAAAAAAAAATTAAAAGGAAATATTAATGTGGTTTATTGCGTAAAATTTTGAAAAATCCATAATTAATTATATAAAATGTGGAAGGTAGTTTGTATGTGAAGTTATTAACTCAGGAAAATGGTAAAGTAAATTGTGTGGGAAGGAAATATGTTTACAAAGATAAACGTTAATAATAATTTTTTGTAAAAAGGAATTAAATCATGCATACGCATTCAATTTGTTTTTTTACTAGAGGTTGCGATGATAACACAAGTAATAAATAAAATTCAGAGTCTCATTTATTTATAAATCTTATATAAGAAACCAAAATAGCATGTACCATCACCACTAGGAATGTAAATTTCGCGGGAAACTATAATCAAGGGAAAATAAGGAAACAAGGGAAAAAATGAAAAATTTCCTTTAAAATTTTTTTATAGGTGAATATTGATTTTTTTTAGAAAGGTTTTATGATATAATTTAAATTATTGTTCGTTATCCTCGTTGAAAATGATCCCAGATCAGAACTAAAACATCAAGAATCGAGCAATTTGTCGTTTGCCTTGCAATATCTAAATCTAGGTATCCAGAAAATCGGTTTATAACATCTAATCCTTTAACAAATTTATTGTTTTTCACCTAAATCCACAATATTTTGAATCAAATATATGAGCAGCGTAATGTATATCACGGCAACAAAAATTTTTCTAGCTTTTTTATAAATTGCTCAATCTCTATAAATCCGCTATGTAAAAGATTTGATATTGCTTTATAATAAATTAAATAAGTTGATGATATGAATAAATGTTAAATTCGATTAATCCATTTCACTTTCATAATCCTAATTGTTTAGAAATGGATTTGATTCTGAAAACAATTCTAATGAAAAAAAACAATCATCCAGCTTACATTAAAATGATGCTTATTTTAAACACAATCGATTTTTTTTTCTGGCCATATCTAAAATGTGTGATTTATGTATACACAAATTGTCAATCGAGTAGAGTATATGAGGGCCCTTGAGGATGCTAAAAACTAACACCACTTTTTTCTAAACATAAGCCATTTATATATTAAATTCGCATTCATACAAGTGAAATGTTATATTTGCGATTCTATGAATTTTTATTATCTTTAATTTTATCCTGAGAAATTGGATAAAAGGTAAATTTCTGAATTCCTGACAGTACAGGCTTTATTTGCTCTTTCTCATATTCGTCTTACATAAAATAAGAAAAATCGACTTTCTAATAAAAAAAATTTAAAACTCTTTAGGACAAGTTATTTGTTCTGAAACAGGCGTAACTAAGTTTGGGCATTAAACGTTTGACTGTACCTCCGACTCTAAGAAGTGGCCCAGAAATATCATTTATCTTTTATTCAGAAATCAAAACGCCTTTATATAACAGCAAAAATTGGTGCTATATAGTGGTTGCAAAGATTGATAAATTTTTGCTATTTTTATATTGTGATTCTGCTTCGTCCGAATTGTAAAAAATTTTTTTTGCGTAGCTTTAAAATTTATCTATCATCAGACTAAATATTTTTGGAATAAATGAACGGCAATTGTATCATGAATGAGAGATTCCAATATTAATATTTAACTTAAATAATTTAAATTATTAAGTGTCTTGTAATAAATCACAAAAGGATGAATGGTAACTTGAACTTTAAACAATAAAATCCTGGGAATATCATCTTGATCCATAAGGGCATCATTTTCAGTAAAATCTACCTAAACAATATTCCTTCATTTATATTCATGTCAAGAAAGTTTTTAAAATATAAGCAATTTAAAAATTTTACAGGTGCATCTTTGAGTCTTTGGGTACTAGGTGTACATTCTTATTTATATTTATAGATCCAACTGATTCCAGAAAATTTTAATAAAAGTTGGCCAAAAATGTGCCTTTTTTAAAAAATTTGACATATAATGCCCCAGAAATTCAAAATATTTTAATATAAAAAGTGCAAATATCTGGTTATTGCTAAGTTAGCACCAAAATGTTAATCATAATCCATAATTTCGTATAGCTTCATCAATTTTATGCAAAAATGCATATTTTAAAAGAGTCAATAGCAGTGTCAAGGTTTTTACATTGTATATATTATAAAAAGAGAATAGATAAAGCAAAAAAATTTGAAAACCAACTCCCCTAGGTAAACTAAAATTAGGCTCAAATTAAAGCTAATTTTTTTTGATAGACCTTTAGTGTTTTTTTTACTAATCATTTTAAAAATTTTAGAGATTGAAAGTGATTATTTGTACTTTTGAGATTGTACATCTCTAGAACTAGGTGTGCTATTATAACTAAATGGTTTTCTCATTTCTACCTATCTAAATAATTACAGAAATTTCTATCAATTTTAAAAAGGGTAGGACAAAAATGTGCCTTTTTTGATATTTGACATTGAATAACTTATTCTCAATCTGTAACAATTCCCCAGATGTGTGGAAATCTGAGTTTGATGACCTGGATTTTAGGAATAATTTAAATTGATTATTTTAATTTTTGTACATAAAAATAAGATTGAATATAATTTTTCACATTATTACTAGTGATTTATCCTTAAATCCAACTTGACCAGCTACCATGTCCCCTGTTTTAAGGAGATTAGACCAAGGTGTATATATTATATCCAAATTGTTTATTTTATTGCCTGTAAATAATATTTTAATTTGTTTATTAAATAATCTACCTTTAATACTATTTGCTTTAACAAGCTGACAACAATCCTGTAATAACTTTTCTGAAATATCATCCATTGTTTGATTCTTATTGTAAGCACTTATAAAATATTAATAGTAAAATTCAACTTCTTTTAATCGAAGATAGACATGCGCTGATGAATGATCATCTACATGAAACCTTAAAAAATGTATTATAAGCATTAACTTTAAAAAAATCACCATATATCCTCTGGCCAGCCCCACCTTATAAGCTCTTCATCTTAATAATATTGTAATTTTACAAATTTTTTTAGTAATTACTTTCAAATTTATCTTTTCCCATATATAACAAAGCCGGAGGTTCTACAACTATGTAAAAAATAATAATTCAGATAAAACATAATATAAATTAAATTACCTATACTTTCGAAGTAAAATACCATTAAAAAAATATTTTTATATTTATGCGAGTGTATGTAAAATTATGTTAAACCTGACTATCATGATGTTAGCATACTGACAAATAGAACTTAATAATTCATAGACAATAATAAATTTCCATTTCTATGGATGGTAAAATTATATAAATTTGCATAAAATAAAATATAATTAAAAATAGCGTATGATTATATATTTTGGAGAAAAGGTATGAGCATAGGCATAGCCAGGATCTTCCTATGGGGGAATTAATATTTTTGCAGGGTTTCGCTCCCTATACTCTCCTTTGGTGAGCCTTTAGCCGGCCTCAATCTTTTATATCTAGATAATATTTGTAAGAATTGGAGGTTAATTCTAAAATAAAAACTTATTATCATTGATTAAAGTACGAAATTGGTTATTAAGAAATGGTATCAAAAAAAGGGTAAGTTGGAACATAAAAAAGAAACTTTTTATTAGTTAAATATAATAAAATTTATATAAGTACATGTATATACATTAATAAAAAAAACGTAGTAAATTTTCTTTCTTTCAAATTAGTTTAAAATATATGCATACATTTTTAGGGGACAGGGAGTGGGGTAGGGAAGATATCTTTTGTTAGCTTAAAATGATATTTACAAAAAGTGGCATTTCTGAAGTGGGGATTTGCATTTGCTCTTCCCTTCCTGGCTACGCCTATTGGTATGAGAATGACACAAATGGAACTCCCTTGGACATTTCCATTTAGGCTTTTCCTTTAAAACTGATTAAAGTAATCTTTATTGTGTAATCATTTATACTACATAACGAACATATGTAAACGCTGTCAATCATAAAAACATGATAATCCTGATATTTGATTGATTTAAATAGGGTTAATCCAAAATTTTTGGGAAGAATAAATAATAGTACTGTATTTGTATGGGATGAATCATAAATAAAAAACTATATTAAATCATACTGATCAGGCAAATTTTAATCTTATCTTTATTTACAGATTCTATGAACATTAAATCTCATTAAGACTTACACTATAATTTAAACTTAAAATCAACCACCACCCACCCTTAAAGTAATTAAATTATACTGTAGTTCCCGATATGCTCTTTTTCTGCCCCTCCTTTTTAATAAGCCTATAGAGGTTTAAGTAACATTTTTCGAAATGTTGTGTCTACAAGTACATGCAGCTTGCCCACAAACGTGTGTAGGGCTCCTCATATTTTTATTCTTACACACAAATTAAATTAATTCCAATTAGATGGAAATAAGAAAAACCTAGCGTAGCTTTGTTGAACCTTCAACGCTAGAGGGCAAAAGCGCTATATATCATGTATCACGCACGTATCATAATATAATCCAAATATGTAATATAAATGCATCAGTGTTGTTAAAATAGCGCGCTACTTTTTTCAGTAGCGGTAGCTTTAGCTGGCTACTTTTTTAAGAAAATAGCGATAGCCGTAGCTCGCTACTTTCAATTTTACATAATAAATACATCTAAAAAATATTAAAATTTTTTTATTAAATCCAAAATTATAATCCTTTTATTTAATTTAATTTTGAAATTTAAATTTATATTTAAAAATATACATTATAAATGTAGTTAACATTATAAATCTAGTTATTAAAAATGTGTGAGATTGTTGAAGATAGGGAAATTTCTTTGTAAATTAGAAAAATATAGATTATCCTTTCTATAATATTAATATATAGTATTAATATAAAATTCAAAATTAATATATTATTAATTAGCTTGTGTATAATAATTATATTTTTTAAATCTTTATTTACGATAATTTAATGCTATTTTAATATTTTTTATAAATGAATCTAAATCTCAGATAAATTTAAATTTTGAAAATTAAAAAGGTATTCTTCTTTTTTTATAAATACAATCGCTTTATATAAATTAGATTTCCAGATCTGTATGATGATGATAATGTAATAGCTGCTATCGTTCATCCTAGTTTCAAGTTAAATTGGCCATATACTAATCTAACTGAATCTAAAGGGCAACTTGATAGGCTGATGGTAACGTTAAAAAATGCCATGCCTAACCACGATACTAATACTATAGCAAAATCGAAATCGCGGCCTTCCATAGATGATTTTTTTGAAATAAATAATAATAATATTATTGAATCTCTAAATGCTTTTTTTAAATAAAAATACTCATTTAAATATTTTTATGATTTTTTTCATATAAAAAGTGTGTTTATTAAATTTAATATTGCGTTGCGCTCAAATGCTAGTGCTGAAAGATTATTTAGTATGGCAAAGCTTATACTTTCTGATCATCGCTCTAGATTTGGGGATGACAGTACCGAAATGTTATTATTATTAAAGTGCAATAATAAATAAATTATATATATAAATGTATCAAATTATAGTCATGTTTTTATACCAATATTTTATTTGTGGAAATAAAGTTACGTAAAAAATATTTTAAAAAAAAATCAAAATAGCTTAAAAAGTAGCTAATAGCGCGTTACTCATTTGAAAACGATAGCGGTAGCGCGCTACTTATAAAAGTAGCGTCTAACAACACTGAAATGCATGAACTATAATAATATCTTCATTTATCACATTCCCCCACACTTAAGATTTTATAACTTCTCAATCAGACGATATGTAGTCTTCCTTGATATTTGTGATTTTCGTCTCATTGTTGTTTATAGCAAGGTAGTGAAAACATATCCTTTGTACACACATTTTCATCAGTCTTTTCCGTTTCGCCGCTATTTCCCTCTATAGGTTGCCCTTCTACTTTTTCCAAATTCTCATCTATATACTCCATATTTTTCATCATTTTCTTCCTCTCTCCCTGACTCCCCATTTCTTTTGCTACATCCCGTTTTCGCAGTTGATCAGTATGCTTTCGTATCGTTAAATCTTTACTTTCTACCAATTAGGAATAACCAGTTCTGGATTTTATAATTTCTTCTCACCAAACTGAATTGATTTCATTATGTATACTTACAGGTTTTGAAACTTCAAATTCCCTAATTTGAATATGTTCAGCATGCGCTGTCTTTTGTCGCATATTAGATCGTTTTATATTGTCCTTAACATTTGGATGTAACCAAACTAATCCAGTTTTTAGATTGCGCCTCAACAATAATTTGTCCGGTGAACGTCAGTTGATTGGTGCTCGCCCATTCTGTATACTGTCAAACCCCAGAGCTTCCTCGGGGTAATATTTTTTCTAGTGGCAAAATATTGACTCTTAGGTGTTCGTATTGTTTTTTCAGCTAACCCTTTGTTTTGGGATAGTAAGGTGTTATATTAATTTAATATTTTTTTCTCTAAACAGAATCTTTTAGATTCTCCAGAAATAAACTATTGATGGCCATTATCTGACACAATTTCTCTTGGCGTTCCAAAATATGAGAACCATTTCTTAGCACCCTGATTATTGTCGTAGACGTGGTATCTCTCATCAACCCGACATCAACCCATTTAGAATGTGCAACAACTCCAACTAACCATGAAAACGAATCGATAGGTCCCGTGAAATCTAGAATGTGGCATACACTGACAAACATGTTGTTCAATGTCTTTATCGCAATTAGGCTACTAACAATACTTACTAAAAATTGATTTCATGGCATTTATTTCAATGCAGTTAATATTAATTTCCTCAATGCGGTATAAATTACCAACCTTCCATTCCATTCAATGACATCACGATCTACTGATAATTCCTCACTACGATTATTAAAATATAATAACTCTGCATCATTTTTGGCATCAAACCCCACCCATTCTCACCCAATGTTTTTAATTAATTTATTTAGCAATCTATCTTTCCTTGTTTCTTTCTGGAGCTCAACTTGACCAAGATTTATATCGAGCAAATCTTTAGCTCTTATTTAATGCATGTTTCTGGTCGTTATTTGACCCCATACTTGCTACTGGCAGTAGATAATGTAACAACCACTTTGTTTTCTTTTCCTGCACGATATTCAATTTCAAAATCATATGCGGACATTTTCCATGTCCAGCGCGTTAATCGACTACAGGATATTTTTGGTAGTTCCCGTTTATCACCAAATAATTTTACCAAATAAAAGTATGAAAATTTTCCATTCCAAACAAAAGCGGTAGTGACTCATTTTCCATTGGTGCATAATTTTTCTCTTATTCCAATAATGTTTGCGAAGCAAATGCGATAGGTTTTCTAAAACCATTTTCAACTACATGAGGTTGCATAGCTCCATAACCAGTTGGAAGCGTCACATTCCAATATGATTGGCAGTGGCGTATCCAGGATTTTCCTATGGGCGGGAAAAATTTTTTGGGGGCTTCGTCCCCAAACCCTCTTAGCTGGCCTTCGGCCAGCTTTTACCCGGCCTTTGGCAGGGTCTTATGTTTTACTATTCTATTAAATTTTTCATATAATTATATATCTTTTTTTAACTTTTATTTACTAATTTGTGCCTAATGATATTACAAGCCTATTTTTTATTATTTTAAGTTAGGTATGTTATATTTAATAAAGTTTTTTTAAATGTAAAGTTGAAATAAAATGTCATTTAAAATTTGTTTTAAAAACTAGCCTCTGCTTAAATTCTCATACAATATAAGTAGAATAAATTTTTTTTTATTGAAAATACCACAGTAAAACATTGACTAAAAAATAATTTATAAAAACAAGTTTTTTTTAACTTCTTATCAAATACAATATTATACAGAATATTTTATTAAATACTATAATTATAATGTGATTTTTAATTTTCGTGGGAATGTTGCCAATGTATCAAGAATTTCGTTTGTCGTGGGAACCAAATCTCTGTGGATATTTAACAGAGCTAACCCATTTAGCCGAGATTCGGAAGTATTACTTTGTAAATATGTTTTCAACCTTCTCAAGTTTGAAAATGTCCTTTCATTCGTGCATGTTGTAATCAATATTAATTTATTGCAGGCATCGATGATTTCATTCTGAATTATTAGGCTCAAGTAGGTCGCATTTTTAGAACAATTTAACAAATTGTCTCTAAGTATGGGATCTCCAAGAGATCTATTTCGAAGAATAGCTCTTAGGTTACCATCATTATTGTTATTATCATTATCAAATATCGCACCGCTATCTCTATGACCTCTAAGAGCGATACCTTGGATGCCACATACCAGGATAGCGTCAATTATTGGCGTTAGTCTTGATCTATTTTGCAAAGCTAGTTCTTGCTTTCCAGTATCTATTATTCTAATAATATCCATAGATTCTCCATTTTTGATAGATCGCAAGGAATATATTGTTTGTTCTGCATTAATATGATACTTATTATTTTAATGGTTGTTAAAAGTTTCAGTAGCATCTTTCCATTTAGTAAATGGTGTTAATACTAAGCTCTGTAATTTTTGCTGAGCCCTTCCAGCAAATTTGGGACCAAATAAAACACAATTCTTGCAAAATGCACCATTAATGGCAGGTGAAAATGCTGCAAGCCATGTCCACCTTGATAACCAAACATATTGGAACTTTAATTTTTTTGTTGTCGTGTCCCTAATAAATGGGAAAGTTATATCTGGTTGATATATATTTTCCAAAATCTCCAGTTTTTTTTGAGGAGTTAAATCATTCTTTAGGAAATTATATATATCCCACGGTTGCCCTAAAAGACATTATTATTACCAACATTCATTAATGTACATATAAAAGCTATAATGATAATAGACAGGCATTATCTGGCCAAAATTAACATTAAAAAAATTATTATAATTATCAAATCTATCATTAAAATTAAAATGCTTATTCTTACTGAAATGAAAATGAACATATTATTTAATAAGCAATTGTTATGATCAAATAAAAATTCCACACTATTAATATCTATCAAATCTGCTTATTCTTACTGAAATGAACATATTATTTAATAAGCAAGTGTTATGATCAAATAAAAATTCCACACTATTAATATCTATCAAATTTAATATTCTTATAATATTCACCAACTGCCTAACTTAATTTTTATAAAATATATGCTAGTGCTTGCTACCTACCTTTATCATTATTTCCTTCAATTTCTATTTGTACATTTTTTTCATGCTCAGACCTATTTAAATTTTGTATATCTTCTGTTCTAAAGAAAAATGAAAAATATAAAATTAGATATATTAATTAAATTATATACCGTTTGTTTTCAATATCTTTGTCTTTGACTAAAAATTTCTCCATTTTTTATATTTTTTTTTGAATAATGTTAATGTACTCACAAGGAAAGGAAATTTAAAAAAAATTTATTTATAAAAAATAAGTTTTATGTTGGAAAATTGATATTCAAATATTTGTAAAATTTTGATTTATGGGGGGCGGGGGGGGGGGGGTGAGTAAAATTTTTATTAGCTTAAAATGATATTTATGAAAACAGTCAAATTTACAATGGGGGGGGATTTCCCCCTTTCCCCCCCATTGGTTACGCGCCTGATGATTGGTAAGTTTGATGAATAAGGAATTAAAGTTTCATCTGTTGACAAAAGCTGCTTTATTTTATTAAATACATCTTGTTCCCTATCAGACCTACCCCAGGAACCTTTAATGCTTGTTAATTGATGAAGTGGAGCGGCTATACCATGTAAATGTGGTAAAAAATCTCTAGTAATAATTCAAGAGTCCTTAAAAAAATCGCAATTCATATAGATTCTTAGGAGATCCTTTAAATAGCATCCATTTTTTTCGCTGGGTGTATGTTTTTTTCATTTATTACAAATCCCAGAAAAACTTAATAAAAATTATTATAAATGATATGTCGTGTTTTTAACAATAATAAAAAAAGAAGAAAAACAAAAATAAATAACAGTATTAAAAAAAATAATTTTAATTTTAAAGTAACCTATGATTGTTTAATTTAATAGTTTGTGATATAATTTTATTAAGAATGCGAGCGACTACTATAAAATGATTATTTATTATTTTATATTAAATTAATATCATATATATAACGTACGAGAAATAGTTGATAAAAGGGAGTACAAAATGTAATTTATATATTTTGACTCACGCCAAATATCAGAGAAATGATATATTGTAATTCATATATTTACTAAATAAAAAAATATTTAATTCATATAAACATATTTATATCGAGATGCTATACGATTATTATATTTATAACAAAATATGAATTCAAAAAAAGATTTTTATACACAACTTATTCGCACCATTTCTTCAATAAATATAATTGAAAATATTAGTAACAATATTTACATTCAAATTAAGTGAAATAACAAAGGAAATAATTGATTAAGAAATTTAATTTATATAAGAATAAAGATTTATATAAGAAGATTTGGAGAAATATAATAAATAAGGATATAAAAAAGTATATAAAAAAGTATATAAAAAAGTATATTAGAAGATTTTGAAGAGATATAAAGAATTATATTAGAAAATTTTGAAAAAACCTAATTGGAATAGATATATAAAGAATTATATTATATAAATTTGAAGAAATATAATTTAAATAGATATAAAGAATTATATTTTTAAAAAAAAATTAATATGTTTTGGGTTATTATTGTAATTTCTTTTATAAATGCATAAAATAATCATATACTAATTTGTATCGACAATTCAGTATATATATAATTTATTTTATAAATGCATAAAATAATCATATACTAATTTGTATCGACAATTCAGTATATATATAATTTATTTTATTGTCTTATCAGTACTTAATCTTTAGGTATACATAATATAATGAGCCTTTAATTCATTTTATATTCCCATATATAAGGTATCCTTCTATTCAAATAAAACTAAAAAATCTGAACTTATTTAATGAATGAATACGTTCAATATTTTTTTTCTAACGTTCTTTGTTTTCCTCTTTTTCTAATTGCCACCTCATATATTTCCATATATGACAGGTATCTTTTGATAAATTAAGGAAACTATTAGATTTGAATTAATTAATTACATTTCAAGTAAGGTAATTATAATATGTAGCTAGTTAAGTTTTAGGCAAGGTAGCTTTTTGCAATGTATTAATTTCTTTTTAAAAGTAAACTTTAAAAAAATTAGTAATATACTTATAAAGATTAATTTTTAAGATAAATTCATTGTTTATCAAGCTTATTGGGAAAACTTTGCATAATTATATACTTCAAATTAATTTATTATGTTTGGATATGTTACAAGATCTTTTTAAATTACAGTGAAATTTTAATTATTTTCTAAAATAAATTGATCAGAAACATTATAGATTATATCTTCAAATCTAGATAGTAGTTATAATATATATTTTCAATTTTTATAATATTGATTTTTATCGCCTCTTTAAAATTTTCAGAGGCACATTTTCGACTATATTTTTATTTTCCACGCCAGAATCGGAATTAATAGTTTGAATTTCTATATTGTAGACGTTACATTTACATTCTTTTTCAAATGAAAAATAAATTTCTTATATAATTTTAAAAGCGAGTGTTTATGCAGAGAATGCATTTTTATTGCTAATGGTCAAATTTTCTATAACTAAAAAAACCCCCACAGTTTTCTGCGACAGGAATTGCTGATTTTAAATATAAAATTTTTTAATAAGTTTGTATCAGTTAAAGGGGGTCATCGAATATAAATTTTGATTAAAACCCAAATTTTCAAATATTATTTTAATTTTTGGAGGTTAATTTTGTTGAATTACTTTAAATTATTTTTTTTCCGGTTCGTTCCTAAAAATTGCTAATGTTGAAACGGAATATTTTTAATAGATACAGAATCAAAATTCATGTAGAGTTTCAATTCCCTGATCTGAGGACACTTTTTTATTTAAATTTGTATAAAACTTTTGTTAGATAAAATTTTAAAACTATCCTTTCCAAACTCAGTCGTTATGATTATATTTTATAAAATAATAAAAATTTTGGCCTTTAAGATATTTTGAAAAAGAAAAAAAAAGAACCTTGGATGTAATAAAGATTTTCTAAAAAAAATTTACTTTTTGTTAAATTTAAATGAATTTTATAAATATAATTTGTGAGTTTGGTATTATATAAATGTTTTCGCCACTATAGTATAATATACATAATTAATATCATTATAAATTAAATAATAGTCCTTGGGCTAAGTTGACATTTTTTAGAGTTGTCACGAATAAAACCACACTATTTAATATTTTTAAGAAAAAACATAATCAGATCACCTTAAAATATGTTTTTGTTTGTAAGTGTCTATTGAATAGGTAATATATATAAATAAGGTGTTTTTTATGAATATAATTATATCCTTTATATTTATAATAAAATCGGAATGAATAAAATATATTTCATATTCTTTTTTATCTTGGTAAGTAAATCTTTATGTTTTAAAAAAATTAGTTGGGCTACGTCCTAGGCTAAGGTCATATCAGAGCATAACATCATGTTCGATAAATTAAGCGTTTAGTAAATTATACAGTGAAGTTTTAAATAAACAGATTATTCAGAATTAGTATAACTAAATACAGATAAAAAAAAAAAACTATATGCAACTGCTCAAAATCTTAAGAAATTATGCGCAGCGCTCAATTTTTTGACCTATTTATTATTGTTATGGATTTGAATCAAATGCTAGAACACCCTGGAATAACCATATACCGCATTTATAGCAAGCGCGATATGCTCAAGCGATGCAAAATTAATCGCTACCGAACCATAGCTATATTACTATTCGATGTATACGTAAACAGCTGTCGCGATTTCAGAAATTACGCATTAACTAAATTTGCATCGCTTGAGCAAATTGTGCTTGCTATAATTGAGGAGTTACCCTGCATTTAAAATTAGAGCGAATTCGCGGCAAAGTATTAAAAAATACCTAAAAATAAAGCATATTTTGTATACTTCGCCGCGAATTCGTCTAAATATGAATACAAGGTAACCCCTCATTCAGTTAGCGCGAATTAGCGGTGGAGAATATACAGCCATTTTTTTATAGTTCTAACTAACTATGAGTGAGGTGTTAGGCGTAGCGATAAGACATGAATCGCTGGGTATTTTTCAAAAGCAAAATGGGTAAATTCATTTCATCGCATCGTGCAATAAAATTTTACCATTATTTTCTTGCTTTTGAAAAAAATAAACAGCAATACGCGTTAAACAAGGCCTTACCTTATTATGATTAATCTTCTAGGTAAAAAAACTAGCTTTTGTTTTATATCTTTTAACTTTGAGCAATCAATTTCCCATCATTATAAGCTAGAAATGAATTACAAAAAATTATAACTAATCTTTGCTTAATTCGTAGAAAACAAAGACAGAATCTCTCTTTTAGTAGGCAAAGTATTTATATTCATTGATAATTCTTTTATCAAACTTTTAACACCTTATATATATATTCTGATCAAAATATTAAGAAAAATAATATTTACCTTGACCCAATGGCATATAAATTACCTATATTAATGTTTCTTTCATTAAAGACCATTTTGAGGCCTCATTGAATACAAATTAGTTGGCGACACGCCATTTTGGTTTTTTATATAAGATTTAAATAAATAAAAAATTTTTCAAAAAAATGTTTACATAAAATTTTAAATGAAAATTTACACGAGAACTCAAAATGGCGTATAACCTGCTGATTTGTATTGATACACATTTAAATGAATTAATCGGCAGTCTAAGTAATATTATATCTCATTGCTCTGATCATATAAGTTTTTGGATGCTAGAAATTGCTAAAAGTTTGCAATCAAAAAATAGAAGAGTTTCAAAATACCTTTTCCAAAAAAATTTGAATGCGTTTGCATATTAAAATTTTTATCTTATGCTTACTATTTTGTTTAAATCCCGAATAATTTTCATATCTTAAGTAATTTTATAAAACCACCCTGTATAATTTAAAACTAGTGTATATATATATTTCGTCTGTCCAGAATTGGAGTAATGAATTAGAATTAAATAAAGATTTACTGCCTATATTATATAATTTGATGATTTATAGTAACCTTGATTTATTTAATATATTCAAAAATAAAATTAAAATGGAGCATTTTGAGCAAGAAAAATCATTTAGGCATTAAATTTGATTTAGACTTCATTTCTTTTTAGCCTATACTAAAAATCAATTAAGTATCCAAATTGAGCAGACCTAGGACACGGCCTTAAAACATTTTAAAAAATATGTTTAATGATAAATAAAATAACACATTATTTTTTAGAGTATAATTTTATCGTCAACGCTCTTAATAGCCACAGAAGAGAAGTTCTCTGAATATGATACAGGATATGATGTACATCAGATAGCTAATATAGATGAACATAAATCAGCGCATAACCTTAAAAAATTATATTATATTGCCCATTCTAATTTTGCAAGGAAAATAAGGCAAGTCAATGAGGATAACGACCTTAAAGATCGTCGGCAAGATTTTACAAGAAAACGCAGGCAAATTAATGACGATAACAACCCGAAAGATTATAGGCAAGATTTTACAAGAAAACGGAGGCAAATCAATGACGATAACGACCCAAAAGATCATAGGCACGATTTTACAAGAAAACGCAGGCAAATCAACGACGATAACGACCTGAAAAATCATAGACACGATTTTACAAGAAAACGCAGGCATGAGGAAAAGAATCTAAAAATAATAAATAAACAACCGCAAGGTTTTAGGAGATCTAAAAGATTCTACACTGAAGCTGTCAAGCCAGAGGGCTATACTGCTGGAGCCTATGAGATAGGGGTAACCGCTGAAGCAGTTAAGCCAAAGATACACGGTAAGATTCACAACGCCTGGAAAGCACACTATGCTCACTTAAAGGCATGGTGGAAATCCCACTACAAGCGTTGGTACATCTGGTGGATGAATAAATATACTACTGCTTTTAAGCCATCAGGGCATGCTGCGGCGACAGGCGTCTATGGCGCTGAAGCGGAGACAGGAATCTATGGTGCTGGAGTTGCGGCTGAAACTGTTAAATCAGGGGTCTATGGTGGTGAAGTTAATCTAGATACCCAAGCTGCTGTAGTTGCTAATCCAGAGATTAAAATCGATATACATGCGGACTGGAAAGCACATGTAGATTATTTCAAAGCCTGGTGGAAATCTTACCACGATAGTTTAAAAGCGTGGTGGGAGAAAAAATGGAAATATTGAAAATATGCTTTGAAAACGCGAATTTTATAGAATAACTGGAAGCTTGAATTAAAAAAATTTTTTTATACCTATAATAGCTTCTGAATAGCAATTATATAATTCTTTATATGTAAAATGACACTTATAATATTAATAATATATATAATCGTATTAATAAGTGAGATATTATTAAGTCATATTTTTATAAAAAGCGCAATTTTTAAATATTTAAAGTATTACATACCGCTCATTTTAATACATATTTTTAAAAAAAAACTATAAATTTGTTAAAAAAATAATAAGCAGTGGTGTACATACAGTACATCCTATTATAAATTAACCCTTGCATGATTTTTATTTTTCCCGGGAAACTTCTCTGGTATTCTTACTGACGATTAATTATCAAAAATAAAATTTTAAATTATGAATGTAAATAATGTTACAATTTCGTTTTGCAATACAAATGCTTAGAATATATTATAAATTGACAAAGATTAATTAATACACTTTAACTATTTGCACCTTTCTAGAGTAATTTTTTTTACCTCTTTGCCACTTCACAGACTCAGGGCTGATCAATTTGAATATAGATTCAAGGATCAACAAGGATTCTTTTACCATAAAAATATGTGGCTGGATTGTATGATAATTTTTTAAAATACTATTAGAAAAATTTTATGAAGACTTTGAATCGACCCTTGCGACGTTACTATTTTGAAAAGTAACGAATCACCTAATTTTTTACTTTTTAAGTAATGGTCCTAGAGTTTAATCGAATTTTGGGCGTCATAAAGTGGATAGTTTGAATTTTATTACTCAAAGTCATAGTTATAGAAAATGGTTCCGAAGTAAAATATCTTGTAGGGATTTTTTGTCAATAATTAAAATGCTTAAAAAATAGGACAGAGACCTGTCCAGAAATCTAGTAACAACATGTATAGAGGTACCTACCACGTAAATATCAAACAATTTTGTCATGAATTTTAAATTAAAAAAAAATAAAGAACATTTTATGGCGAAAGTTTGATCCTCATGCTTGAAAACGATTCTGTTAAATCAAGTCTTTTAAACATTTTTAATAAATGCTTTGGGTAATTCAAGATTTTCCTATATTTTGCTTTAATAAAAAGCGGGGTCTGGAGGTATCCCTGAATTCGCGAAACCTCTTCGATATTATCTATAATTTTATAGGAATTAGTAATAGGTAATTTAAATTTATTGTCAATCTTTGTGTTATACTAATCCCATAGTGACTGATAACCCCTCTTTCAAAGTAAGAGTATATACGTAAGGAATAAGACCAGTTCAGTATAGAAATATTTTAGCCGATGTTAGTGGGTGATACATAAATATGATGATAATTAATCATCATAAATTAAAAAATATCTATTATTTTTATTTAATTCAAAAATTAATTTTTTTAATTATAATTTAAAAAATTTTTTATTAGTTAAAATATACATTTATTTTAAAACTATTTACAAGATATTAATTAAAAATATCAAAAGAAAAAAATATATGAAAATATTATAATCGAGTACTTAAAAAAGGAATCATTATTAAATTTAAAAAATTGGATTGGATCCTTTTTCTTTTTCTATTGAAGATGAAAAAATCCTTTGGGATCATTTATGAGGTTTCCTAATTCTTTGGAATTATAGTTTTTAACAATTTAAAAGTGATAGGTAAAATAAATTATCTAAAATGATAAAACGACTATAAGGGAGTAAGATAAATAATTTTTTAATATTTCATATTAATTATGTTCGTATTAGCATGAATAATGGATCTAACTGGTTTGAATACTAAATAGTTTCGAAGATGTATATCATAGATTTTACTTTATTTTAATTATCTTTTAAAAGTAATAGATTAATTACCAATTTTATTCATGAAGAAATTTAAAATAAATATGTAAACACTATCGTCACTTACATAACTAATAAAATACCTCTTTTATTATTAAATTTGTTATCCAAAAATTTGGAAGTATAAAATGTAATCCTTTCAGTTATTCATAACAATAGGATATTAAAAGGTCAATATTAATTTCCAGAGCTGAACACGGAAGCGTAAGGTCAAAGTTTTTGACAACCTCTGGATGGATGATGCCAAAATTTCCGAGGAAAAAATGCGATTCAGGATTGGAGTAATTGTAAAGATACACGGAAGCACAACGGCCATCAAAATATGTAGGATCTGATATTGGATAAAAATTTATTAAAATTATTTTTAAAAAACGATTATAAAAATTGTGTAATAAGTTGATAAATAGAAAAGATTAAAACATAATTTCTTTCATCATCTTAATCATGAATAAATCATATTTTTCTCTCTGCCCCAAAAGTGGTGGGGGAGTGACACCATTTTAGGACAATCATTGAAGGTTTAACCTTCATCATAGTCTAAAATCAATGTTTTTTGAATGGAATGCAAAAGATAACTAATATATAAATCTGCTCCAGTCCCGGGTGAATCTGGAACATCGTGATAAGTTATAGTTCTAATTCCATTTTGGTCGATATTGAGTTCGAGTCAATATATTATGCTTAGAGAGTACCATCAACCCCTTAACATTGCTTCCTTACCAAGTTATCACTATTCTCTACCTCCATCATTTTATCGGCATTTTTTATAAAAATTATCTAATACTAGTTCCTTCACGGATGAAATATGCCCTAATCTTTTCTTCTCCGTGATTTTCATCCTTTTCGCACACGTGACTTGCACTGTTTTCGGTCTTTTTGTCACCGTTAATTTCACAAGACGTTTCGTCTAAAACATGATGACATCCGACGATTTGTAGTATTCTGTCTACTATTCCGTGAACCACTTCGAACCCCGCTCCTCCAGTTTTAGAGTAGCGTACTATGCAAGCATTGCGTTGATTACGTGCTCCTACATCTTTATAACATGTTTCAAAATATTTATTATTTCCCCAAAAATATTTCTACGAATTTTTTTTTAATATTTTAAATATTTTTAATGAAATCAAGGAATTTTCTTTGAATCGATCAATCCTATTATTTAGTGGCTGAAACCGCGGAGTCGGAAAAACGGTAGTCATCCCAACAACAAATTGTTAAAAAATTGCTATTACAATTATAAAGTAAAGCGTAATTTTTTTAAAAAATGAGAGAATTATATTAAATTGATCATTTTACAATTTCATATATTAAAATTGATATTGATTTAATTATTATTCGTCCAAAGATTAAATATAAAAGTAATTTTAGACTGATAATAGATAAGACATATTTTTTTCATATAAAACTTCACTCCCCCCCTCTCTCCCACCATACTTCCCTCAATGACATTATTACTAACCTAAATTGATGATTCGTTTATTATAAGTGTAGATTACATAGAAGACAACTGTAGTAGTCGTTCATCTAAATATTTTTCAATGAATGAATAAATCGTTAGTCCAGATTGGTATTAATATTGAAAATACCTCCCCCCCCCCACAACCACTCAGTAAAAAAAATTGTTACAGCCAGTACGTAGACAAGGAAGAATGGCGGTTAACCCAATCTCACGGAAAATATGATTAGGTAATATTTTGTGCCTTCATGAATATTTTTATAGTGATATCAAGACGAAAATTTGTTTTCTTTTAAATTAGTAAAACCCCTTTCTTAATTTTATACTTCCATAAAATCATCAGAACTTTCTTCTTCCATTTAAAAGGAGTGCGGGAAAAAATCTTTAAAATCTGCCAGTTACATTTTAAAAAAATTAAAAAACGGAAGATCCCAATAAAGCTTTTAATTCGTGTACAAAGGTTTAATCTTTTCTATTTCCAAGTGTAAAAGCGCATTTAGTATATTATTTTATTAACCAATAGTTCAACCTTAGAGCTTGAGTTTAAATTTTTTTTTATCAATTGTAATCGTGTTCAATTTAACCACCACTTAAAATTTTCGAAAATATACTCGATTCAAAATATAATGAGATTTTAACTATTTTACTTCTATAACTATTAAATAATCCGAAAAGAACAAATGCTGAAAATCTTAAGATTCAAAAATATTTTGAATCACGGAAAAAAATCTAAATATATTTGGATGTAATTGATTCTTGAATGGGTATTTAAAATCGGATATTTAACAATCAGCCATAAAGCCTGACCGTTATAATTTTTCGATTATAACTGATTCCTGTTTATTGACTAAACTGATTGATAAATTATTTAGTAGGTACTAAAGGCATTACATATTGGCTCAACCAGTTAGTGCTTTCATAATTTTTGTTATAGCATGCTGCCAATCTCGGTAAAAATGCCATTTTCATTAAACTATCTACCAAACGGGTTGAAGCACTAAAATTTCAGAGGTAGTGCTTTGAGAAGTTTGGTTGACTTTACGATATAAGCATGACTTCATAGTTTTCCGTGGTTCACAAAACTGATTGAGGAATTAATAAGAGCTAGTCAAGCAGTAAATATTAGTTTAAACAAGATATTTAGTTCTTCTATATTTTCCTTCTGAATGAAGTCATTATATAAGATTTGCTAAAATTTTGTTATTCATAACTTTACCTTTATACTGGTATTATTAAAGCCTTCCAAGGCACTAATAAGGCACGAAGCATTGGCATTTAATTTAAATTTAATGAGTCCAATTGTTCAACTTTCTTGATGTTAAAAAAATTTACATATTTTAAAAATACAATAAAAAATACTCAATCAGAATTTTCCAAAGGTGACCCGACAGAATGACAGGGCAATAAAGGGTTGAGGGTAACACCCCCTCCTTCCATGACTCTGTATTTATTAGTTAAATTGCTAAATAAATTTAAAAAAATTTGTTCTTTCTCTAATTTTTTTATATGATGTAGTTCATTCAGCATGTCGAATAAAACTTATTACTCCAAAACGTATTCTATCTTACTTCACAATCGTTTCCTTAATTTAAAAAAACCCCAGCCAGTTTTACCGAAATTATCATCCTTGAAAACGACGTCAGATATTTCAAATAACTTTAAAGGAAGCGGAATGTTTTTGCTTGAAGAGATAACCTTAAGAATTCCTGGAATGAGTGACGTTCTAACAACCTTTATCATAATTTATATTTATGTTTTAAAATATTATAATATATTCAGCAAGTAAGATACCAATTTTAAATGAGTACCTTAATAGGATAGGTCAAATTTTTTTATTATAAATTTGACATTTCGGTTATATTCCTACTGAATAATAAAAAAAATTAACGCTGAATTTATGATCACCACCCCCCTCTCCCATTTGATTTAGTTAGGCTGGAAGGTAGAATTTTCGAAAAAGATGCACCTTCCAGAGATTTTTATATTTAAAAATATAAAGATCAACAACGGCCCAAAATTTTTATAATCATAAATTTAAATTCTCGAAATTCCAAACCAGGCCATAATATTAGGCATAAATTTCCCGGCCCGCAAGTTTTTGATCCGGCTAATAAATAAAAAAAAATTTTATCTCAGCGGATTAAAGAATTATCCATGTTTTAAATTCAGAAGTCGACAATCAGTAAAATTATAATTTCAAAAATAATATGTAATGTAATTTTTAAAATTAAATTATTATGTCGTATTGAAATATGGAATACATATGGATTTAGAACCTCTCGATTTTGAATCATTTACTAAGGGCGATTTTTATATTTTAAAAAAATCTGATTTGACAAGAATTTTATTTCAGCATGTATAGAGTACCCAAACGTAAATTTCAAGCAAATTTGTTTTATATTAATTTTTTATATAAATTATAAAATACTATAATGTATATGGCGGAAATGGATTATTTATAGGGTAAAGTACTCTACACATGGTAGAATATATTTCCGGTTAAATCGGTTTAAAAATTTTTTTAAATCGCCCTCTGTAAAGGATTAAAAATCGAGAGATATTCGGAATTCTAACGAATTCCATATCCAAATTCGACAATTATAAAAAATAATTTAAAAATTGTAAAAAATAACAAACGGGAAAATAATTTTTAAATAGAACGACTTCGGTATCGGGTTTGGGTCAGCAATTAATGTAAAATCTAAATATTTGGAAATTGAGCCACGGTTTCCTTAAACCGATTGAGCGTATCAATAGCATGCTCAATACCACAATTCGAATTCATTGAATAAATTGATTTCAGTATCACAATCATATGAATAAAATTTTGCTAAATATATAATGTTACCAATGGTGGCATCAGAAAACGAAGAAGGGTCTTTAGGTAATAAAACTTGAAGATTGCTAAAGACTTGTTTTTTTTAATCTAAATACCGTACTTTTATTTGCGATAAAGAAGTATTTAAGAATGAGATGAAAATGGATATTTTATAATATTCTTCATTTGAGTAAACATTTATATTACATCTCGATAATTGCCTAGGTGCTAGAAGAGGTTTAATTAGTGTTATATCATAAGATTTAGCTTTCGATTCAACGTCTAGATAAATATTATGAAAATATTCATCTACATTCATTCTTATTGTATTTACCTTCATATCCATTTTCCGCCAAATCAATAACCTGAACCAAGTCCAAATTTGGTTTAGGTAAATTTCTACAAAGTAATGAGATAGGAAAATAATTTAATAATGCAACTAGCATCAAAGATAAACTCTGATTGTATCGCTTTCGAAGACACATTACCATATTGCTATTTAATAATTTCATGTAAAGATATTCTGATCATCTCTTCCAGTTCTACAAATGCCGAAACTGAATCATGACGTATAACGCTTCGTGTAGGGCATATATTTTTTATTTAGATGAGGAGTGTCTGGTTCATTTATTGATATAATTCGATTTAAAACATCTGACCGATTCGGATATTTAAAAAAATCACAAATTTTGGATATAATGGCTTATTTTATAAAGTTAAAATACCTATAGCATTGCATATTGAGCACATGATTCGGATATTGATAATTCAACGAATGAGATGCACAATGAACACGGATGGATATTTTTTTAAAATATGTGCTTTGACATCTTTTAAATGGCCACTCATAGCTGGACACCATCATAACCTTGTCCTCACATTAAATTTATATTTAGCTTATATATCTCAAAATTTAACAAAATAGTCTCCCCTCACATAACCATAACTTTTATAAACTGTAAAAATTCTTCTAACATTTGTATATAACCTATGGTGTATAATTTTTTTATTATCAAGGAAAGGAAATTTTAATAAAATTCATTTTTAAAAAATAATTGATATTCAAATATTTGCAAAATTTTAATTGGGTAGGGATGGGCGTAAAATTTTATTAATGATATTTATGAAAACAGTCAAATTTGAGATGGAGGGGGGGGGGTGGTTATGCGCCTGTGATGGACAAAAAAGTCAAACATAGTTATAAAAATAAATATGATAATTGCCAATAAATTTTTTGGAATATAAATGTTTGAATATTTTTTGTAAATATTCAATAAGATTATATAAATTTCCACAATAGAGGATTATTATATCTTATTTTATCATCTATCATGATATATTTTTATTTCTTTCAGAAACTTTTCGTCCATCATCTAACTGCATCAAAAAAAACCATATCCTGCTCTAAATATTTTTATGATATCAATAAATAGATAAATGTTGGGGTGAAGATAAGGAATGTATTCCTCTAAAACACGGTGAAAACCTTTGTCGTGGTTATTCGTCCTCACCTCCCTAACACCAGATGTATTTCACATTTAATATTTAAACTCGGTATTACTGATAATTCAAGTATTTTCTAAATAATTTTAAAAAATCCTAAATAGAGCTGAAGTGAAAAGATTGAAACTTGCGACTTAACTGAATTATTATAGATAGCATATCCCATTCTAATAAAAATTTCATGGTCATTATAAACGAAAATATTTATTAATTTCAGGATTTTGCCTATGCAGTTGGGTCATGCGATTCCTGAATGCGTCTTACGATGCATTGACAAAAATGGAAATAGCAACCCTTTACAAGAATTCACGAGAAAAATTTTCGAGGGCTAAAAAAACGCCAATTTCAAAACTATAGTTGGACTTGGTGGCGAAAAAATAAGGCCTAATGATAAACAATAATTTTTTGACAATTAAAGCATTGGAATGTATGTACTTTTATATTTATTTGGTAATAGAATATGCGCACTGACAATTAATGTATTGTTTATAATAATTTCTATCCCATAAAGTGGTTTAAATGATTTAGATAAGGCAATAAAAGTGTCATCTTGATATATTCTATCCTCCCAACAAAAGCGAGATAGAAGAATATGAGTAGAAAAAATAATTTATTAGATTATTATTAGTCATGGCGACTTTATGTTCATCAAGTGCGAGGTAAAGTAATATCGTCTTACACAAATGCACAGACGAAATCCTTATATTAACAAATTTTTTCGTATTGACCATTCACATTTTTATTAGGATGGGATGTGCTATCTATAATGATTCACTTTAAGTCGCTAAGCTCAATCTTTTCAATTGAGCTCGATTTATAATTTTTTTATAATTATTTTGAAAATACTCGAATTAACAGTAATGCCAAGTTCAAATATGAAATATGGAACACATTTGGTGTTAGAAGGGTGAGAAGGAATAACCACGACGAAGGTTTTCACCGTGCTTTAAAGGAATACATCCCTTATCCTTATCCCCAGCATTTATCTATTTGTTGATATCATAAAAAAAATATAGAGTAGGATATATTTCTTATATTGATGCAGTTAGATGATGGGCGAAAAGCTACTGAGAAAAAAAAATACATCATGATAGATGATAAAATAAGAGATAATAATCCTCTATTGTGGAAATCTATATAGTCCTATTGAATATTTAGAAAAAATATCCAAATATTTATATTCCAAAAATTTATCGACAATTAGCTATTTTTTATATTGCTATGTTGGTGACTTTTTGGTCCATCATCTAATTAAATTTGATATTTTATATCAGTAGGAAGGATATTTTATAGTAGTTAGGTTTTGCCGAAGTGCATATGCTAATTTCAAAATCTATGGTATGTTTCTCAACTAATGCTGTATCATCTTTTATGGAGCGCTTCATCTGGTAAAGTTTGTAATATTACTAATCATATTTTTTTGATATTATAATGCTTAACTTTTTATGGTACACTAAACTTGAGATCTGCAAAAGTAGGCCCGGCCCGTACCCGACCTCAATCGGGTCTAATATTTTTTTTAAAAATTTGGGCCGGGCCTTGTAAATTTTTTTAAATATATCTAAATTCAACAATTTTATGCTAAATTTTTTATGTAAAATAAAAATATTTGATTTTATTTATAAAAACTAGACGCCATATAACATATATCTTTTATTTTGAGTAATTATAAAAATGAATTTCTAAATTTAAATTCGGGCGTGACCGGGCCGGTAAAACTTTTTAAAAAAAATTTCGGATTTGGGCTGGGCTGATCTTACACTAAACCTCTTACCTATTTTTTTTTATCAGTTTATATAACTTATGCATTTATTGACCTATATTATTTTAATACAAAATTATAATCTTGCATATTGTGTTACCCTAACCCTGTGTGCACGAATAACATACCTTATATATATAGGTACATTAATTATAATATTGTCCACAGAGGCTTGAATAAATAAAATTGTATTTGCTAATTTTTAGAAAAATTTCAAATTGAATGTTTAGTGTTGTCTCTTACATTATTTGTATATATAAATCAAAATGGTGCACAAACTTAAATTAGAGCATTATTTTTTATAATAAATTTAATTATGGAGTAATAAGTAAAAATATTTACGAAAAAATTTTTATTATGAGAGTTCCTAACAAAAAAGTGATTAACATATTCCCATAAATCATTAGAAACCTCAAAAAAATTAAAACATGAGTAAATCTGATATTTATAGAAATAAGTATTAATTTCTATGATAAAAATTATATTAAGGGAGTTCTTAGTAAGAAAAGGGATTAAAATATTCCCATTAATCATTAGAAACCAAAAAAAAATTAAATATATTAAATGATATTCATAGGAATAATAAGTATAAATACCTAGGATAACAACACAACGTCTATTTGACTACTTATTAAAAAATTCATTTAATTATATTATAAATAACTTCGAAATCAATCGTTTTTGGATTCGATATAACGCAGGCATCAGATAGACTTTCGCATTTGCGCATTTTCCTATAAACGTCATCCTTTGAACACTTGTCAAGAAAATGTATTTTTATGAAATAAATATTAGCAAATTACAAAGTTTTTGTTGGTTTAAATTTGGAACACTTTATGTGAATAACATTTTTATATATTCTTTTAGCTATAAAAGTCACTCATTTCATGATAATTAGAGTACTCCAATTCCAAGCCTGTTACTTGTATATAACTTAAGGGAAAAAAATTTGAGGGCAGAACTTTTTTGGACAAAATAATTACTACAAATTAGTTAAAGATGGTCAATCACAAAAATTATTTGAGTTTTAAAATGAAAGGCTTTATAAAATAATAAATAAATTACATTAATTTTGAGGCCAATAAACAAGAAATTTGATGGGTATCCTTAAGCTGACATTTTTGAGTTAATATTTAGGTATTGGTATAATCAAAACATATGAATGCTAAGACCTAATATAAATTATTTTGTAATCGTATTTCAAATTTAAAAAATCTTTAAGAGACCAAATGAGTATTAAATAAAATGATTCGATTTAATGTCTTTTCAAAAATATTTACCAAACTGAATGTCAAAACCTCAGTGTAACCCATGGCAACGATTTCGTCCCTCAAGATTTCGGTCAATTTATTGATAGGCAACTTTTTTAGGCGCGAAAAAAAAGAATTGAAACTATTAGTATTATATATATGTTTTGTTAGAACTTTTCATTCCTTTCTTTCAACACTTCATCCCTTATTCCATTTCAAACAAGCCCTTGTGATTAGAAATTTTTACCTGATTAGCAATAGTACAAGTTTGAGGATATCTGTGTGGGATGTTATTGAATCCATAGGCCACGCCAACATCCTCCATGATATCTCTCACGTGTAAAACATCTTCAAAAAAAAACAATCATACAAAATAAAATAAAAAATAAACAAATTCCATCATCACGTTCACGAATAAACATAAAATTCTGATTTTGCAGTACTCCTTGTGTAATTTTTATTATAATTCCAAAAATAAATATCATCGTTCGATTATGAAAAATATTTTTAAGAACAAGAATGAAATAAATGAATTATACAATAAATCTTATTTTAAAAAAAACCGCTTCTTAACGGGGATACTTCAAGGTGCACGCTATCGTTGCCGCTTTCACTAGGTGACACGAAATAACCCATCTTCGTCAAATATTGATTCACAGCAGGGGCATCGCAACTAAAGATATTATATATTTATGTGTGAATAAGTGAAAATCAGTTAAAACCGTTTCAGATCGTTCCATAAATCCGAAAACAGATTTTTAAAAAAGTTGATCAGATTTTAAACTCGATCTGAATGCAGGCTAATACATGTTTTTTATTTAAAAATTAAATTGTGGAGTGGTCAGAACTGGTCCGGTTGACATCACTACGTGTGATTCGTTCTATTTGTTTGCCCTCTTCTGACTAGTATACTTATCACGAATAATAATGTATGTTATATAGAGAAGATCAAACGTCGGCCCAGGTATTATCGCTTAGGAGTATTGCTGTTTCGTTATTTTATGATTTAAAAAAATTGAATTATTTTTTATAAAAAGTTATATTATCTGCAACAAGAAATTTTTTATTTACTTAAATAATTTAAGGGGTCATATTCAGCTAGTGTTGTTAAAACGATTCATTTGGCATTACCAAACCTAGGAGATTTTGCCCACAAATGTTAGAAAAGTTTGGACATCAAGAGGCTAAGTTTCGAGGTATAGGTAATAATATTTTTGCTAAAATTTAGATTTCGCCATGGCATTTAAACACTATATTTAACTATACCCTTCCCATATTTTAAATGAAATTATTAACTTTTGAAGAATTAAAAAATCCACTTTAATCATTGATGAAATTTAGTTAAGTTAGGTTTTTCTTGAATATTAATTTTTTGACAATGATTCAAAGGATAGATGGTAAAGAATCAATAAATATCGGATCGGGCTCGCAGTAATATCAGATAAAATCGACGAAAAATTTGTGGAACGCACAGCCCTACCATTTTTATTCCTAAATCTTTTCGTTTCCCTCATTTTTTTCCCCCGTGTAAATCCCTAATTTGTCGCTCTCTCCTTTTCCATATCATCCGTTTGTTCATTCCTGATATCGACAAAATATTATCATCATTAATTCATGGAAAAAAGTGATATAAATAATATTCTAAGAAAAATTACGTCAGGATGTAGTTATTATAAGAAATTACAATGATTTTTACTTGATTCCTATAATCTTATTAGTTTCCTTGACTGATAAAGTTTCTTTCCTATATACGAATTCCTGAGTCATGGTCAACATAAGCAATGATATTAGCATGTTTTTAAAAAAAAAAAAATAATAATGAAATAAAACGAAAAGGTTGTATTCATATTTTTTTCTTAATGATGCCCTTAAATAAGGCATAAGCCAATAAGGACCCGTCCTAGAGTGGACCAATTCTGTTAGGATTTACTGGAATACAATAGAATATAAGAAGTCAGCTAATAATAAAGAATGGGGAAAAAAAGAAAATCTCCAAATGTCTAAAATTTATATGCTCCTTAATCTACGATTATAGTTTAACCCATGGGAAATGACCGTTATACCAGCTGATTTATTTAAATTTCTATTCGTCTATTTATACGTATCAGATTTGTCGGGTTGTTAATTAAAATGATTAAATTTAATTTAAAAACACATTATATCGTTAACCCTAACCCATAGCTCTCTAATGTACAATCCTACTCCTAACTTCAGTTACTTATTTAATTATATCTCATCCAATTAAAAGAATTTCCTTTAGATGAAAATTCCTTCTAACAATATTATTGGAATATTTCTGACAAAATCAAATTTTTACATTTAAAAAAAAATAACAAACAACCCTTCATTAAAACTATCGTCTTACCAATTTTTTTTAAAAAAAAATATGGCCGACTTTAGGGCATCCGATGTATTTTAAATAATTTAAAGGGTTGTTTTATAAAAGAAAGTAGCGGAGGGATTTATTACATTAATACATGATGGATTTTTTTTGCTAATTTTTATATTCTAAATTTAAACGGTTACATCTTTTATTAAAAAAAAAATTAAATTACCGGAAATTTGAATCTTGAATTGGAATCCGAATCTATCACTTGAACTATTTCGACTCTTATAAATTAAATTAACATTTTGAATAAAAAGTAATTTTTTTTAATTTATATATATTTTAATAAAATATAGGTTTTTAAATATGTTAACATTCATAATTATTATTATTAAAAATCTTTAATTACATTTGTTTATAAATAATGAATGAATTGTTAAAAAAGTGATGAGAACAGAGAACAAAGATTGCTCAAAAAAAATTCAACACCAAAATTGCGTTGAAATTAGTGCTGTTAAATGGCTCAATTTAGCCAATGTTAAAAGATATTGGCCAAAATAATATTATATAAGCTTTGAGATTTCGTTAATAGATGTCCAACTGACATCCATAAATCTCCAGTCTTGCGTATTGGCTAAAATATTAAGCTATATTTAAAAAATCGAGCCATTTAACACTAGCTGAAATTGTAAACAAGCATTTATCATTTAATTAATTAGAAGCAAAAAAAAATATATCGGGCTTGATTTTCAAACTTGCCCAATCTAAAATAAATTTATTCATCCCGAAAAACGCGGTCCGAAATTAAAATTATTTGTTACGCTACGCCAGTCCCGAATTACTTATAAACACAACCCAGCCCGACCCGATTTATTTTTATAAATAAACCCAGAGGTTTGGGCTAGCGTTGCAGATCTCTAGTAACAACCTGGTTAAATTCCCCAAAAATAGCAGGTAAATGCGGTATTATTGGAAGTTAGCTCTGAAGCATAGTAATGCGTTACTCTAAAAAAAAGAGTAAAGTAATTATTTTGCATTGCTCGTAACTTTATATTATATCATTGTCTTTAAATGAAAAGAGGAAACCATATTTAATTTTTTCTTTTAAATGAAACTCTTTCTATAGGAAATCAAATTAATGACATGACTCCCTCCCACTGATACCCAAGATAAAATATTAAAAAAAAATTTTTCGATAAAGACATGACAGAAGACTGATTCTAAGATGAGCTAACAAAAAAAAATTGGAAAATAATATCGTTAGCAAATTTAATCTCAATCTTTGGAACTTATTGGTCGTGCGCTTAGCACAACAAATGTAGTGTTGAGATAATTATAAGAAGCCATTACTATTCATTAGCAATAATAATATACTGTAAAAATAAATTCATATTATATTGTCCATTAATTATGAATAGATGGAAAATAAAAGTGGAAAAAAAGTATGTGATGCGATTTTTTTATAGTATCAAGCAATGTTTAAAGCTTTTTTTAAATTGCAACGACAGCTACTTTTTTTGAGTAACGTATTGTAAGTGAATATATTTTTTACTCGTAAGGTTTCGCGCAGTATTTGCTGAATATTCCCGATAAACTCTCTACCACTATTTTAGCCTTGAAAAAAATATATAACCGTTTATTCAAATAACTAATTTATATATATGGTATGTGTCATTTTTTTATTTGAAATTAATTAAAGTGATAACTTTGTGTAAATCTGTAGCCGTGCATTCTATGAAGATATTTTTTGTGTCTAAAGTAATTTTGGAATGATCACCTGAATTTTTTTTTATAAAAATGAGTATTAGAAGAAATAAAAATTCCAAAACGCATTATTCTAATTTGCTAGAAATTTTCTTTTGATCGACTTCAAAACCAATAAGATTTATAGATACTTCGTAAACTAACAGGAAGCCGCTATAAGTCATTATGTTAGTAGAATAATTTAAGACTCTCCCATTCTATTTTCTTCTGCCCACATCTTTGGCTAAAAGGAAATACACATCAAAATAATGGATATCTACTCAAAATACATTTACCCCTACCTTTTTTTTCAATTTTTATTATGGTTTTCACGACTCCCTATCTTCCCATAATGTCAATGACGATCTTCCATTTTACCACACTCTCCGCTGGTAGAGGTGCCTGAACCCTATTGCTTAGTGAGAATAATTTTTTAAACAATTTCTTTTTTATAAATCTCATTAGCTAAATACAGATCTATAACAATGGATATAGGGTTATATTACACTATATTAAAATAAATATCAAGTTTACCCATTTAAATAAAATAATGTATTCATAATAACTAAAAACAAATTTCATCTCTATTTACATCTGCCCTATTTCTTTTTATACAATCCTCACAAAACAAATAAATTATCAATGAAATTAGAAATTTCAATTACCAACTGCCTTTTTTTAATAAAAACTACCACAATATAAAATAGATCAATTATACATATCGTTTTGCATTTTCACTACCCCTTAATTTAACATTTCTTCATTATCTAACATATGAGACTAATTTAAATATTACCTATATACACCATAGTAATTATATTGAATATTTAAATAAAAATATACCCTCCTTAACTATGAATAATTTAATTTTTTAAAAAATTTAAATTTATTCTGTATAATAATTTAGAAGATACAACAATATTTATATAAAAAATATCATCAATTAAGAAATTATTTCAATTAAATCCTTTTTTCAATTTTTTGCCATCTTTGTCTTGCAATAGATATTGTTATAAATAAATGCTGTTACATCTTGTTTTGAACTTTGAATGCCTTTCTGTTAATAAGGCTCTTACTCTAGAAAGTTATTGGAATTTTAAAATTTAAGATTTTATTGAAGCCATTTATACATTCCATAGTTTCCTTTAAATATTATTCTGTATATTAGATTTATATAATAAATTTTGACGTTTAATCTTTGCTTGAACATCATGAAGTCTCTTGTTAAAACATTCTAACTTTTGCTTTGCTTTATGGTACAAAAATTTGATTATCTATTTTGATTTTTACAATTTGGATATTTTTATTGGAATGAGCATGAATAAAATTTATTATAATTTTTGAAATGTTATTTTTTTTACCAGCAGTAGAAGGATGTTTTATTTTTATAGAAACTTTACAAATTTCTTCTTGGAGTTTCATTTTTATATCTTTCAATTTTTTATAAAAAATTTAATTAGTACAATTATTACAATTTTTTCAATGTATAAATGACTATATTATAAAAATTTAGTATATTTTTGAATATACATCAATAAATTTGGAACCTTTCTACTTCATAAATGTAAGAATATATGGTACAATTTACTTAGGCAATCGACCTAAAACCAAATATTTTTAAATAGAGATTTAAATTCGTCTTATATGTTAGACAATGAATGAATGTTAAATCAAGGCAGAGTGGGAAAAAACGATATGATAAATACAATTGTAAGAATTGACAAATTTGGTCTTACAACAACACTTACTATCTTGTGTAAGGAAATTAATCACCTAAATTTAAACATAAATCATTTTATTATAATAAATGGATTTATATTTATTACACATACTATTTGATAAGTATCTAATAAATTGTTTTTTAAAAAAATGGAGATAATTAATAAAAAAAGAAGGAAAAGGGGTATTTATAAGAAAGAAATAAACTAACTATTAATGATAGGTGGTAAAGAGAGAACAACGCCATTGTAATCCAGTACCACGGGGTACAGTGGACTATCCTTAATTATATTCAGGTATGGCCTCAAATGGCTCTCTTTCTGTATTCAAAATAAAATCAATAATAAAAAAAAACTTTAAGTTGAACTAACATAAAAATATAAGAGAAGAAATTTCCAAAAAAATTTCCAAATAAAATAAATAAATGGTAAACAAAAACCATATTATTTCTCATTATTAGATAATTATTCCTATTCAATAAAAATTATGCAATCTTTTCATTAATTGTAAAAAAAAATTTAAATTATCAATATTATTTTTTTTAAGGGAAACAGTACAATTACAAATTTAAATTCTATTAACTCATCAGAGCCAGTCAGATTCCAAGTATAGTGCATTTATTTCAAAAATGAGGTAAATCGTTAAGGAGGTGCAACATATCCATTTTAGGTTAGAAAAAGAAAAGAGATATGTTACAGCTATTATCCCATGCTAATATATAAATATAATTATGATTTTTATAAAAAAAATCATATCGTTTTTTTTAAAAAAAAGAAAATATTACATTGTAGAGTTCCATCAATTCGCTAGCTTTGTAGGACTTGGTCTGGTTTAGGGGTACAAACTCAATTTTTTCAGGGCTTTTGGCATCGTAAGTAAACGGACCTTTAACCATGTCATAATCGTGAGTGCCAATAGAGACTAAAGTTCTCTTGCTTAGGGAATATTAAAATAATTATCCTTTTTTATTTTAATATAATGGATTGAGTAGCCATTTGGCTAAGAGGGAGAAAGCATTATCGAGCGCCTTTTTTCCCCACACATTTTATTGTTGTGCTTAAATCCTGTTTAATAAAAGGATTTGGCTGGATTACAGTTTTTTAATGTAATTGTGTGGTTTCCCTTCTTTTTTTTAATAAAAATTTAGAATTATATACATTATTTTTGATTTTTATAATACTTATTACTATTTTTTTTAAAAATTATTATTTATTGACATATTGTATAAATAGAAAGGGGGGGGGGAGTGTAGGGAGATAATTTTTATTAGATTAAAATGATATTTATGATAAAGGGCAGATCATTAAATGGGAAAATATGCACAACTCTTCCCTTTTAGCTATGGTTATTATAGGTACCAAATTTTTTTTAATGTAAAGAGCATTACCGTGAAAAGTTATTTCCGCACATGCATTACATCAAATATATTTGCATGATTATAACAACAAAAAATATTATAGCGAATGAATTATAGTGAATGCATTTCCACAAACATATTACAGCAAAAACATTACTGCGAGTGCATTGTGAAAATATTATGGGGAATATATTAACGCAATGCATCATCACGAATACATTATTGCAAATGCATTATGGGGAATGCAAATATATTCTTGTAAATCGTAAGTACATAATCGAATTATCGTAAATGCATTAAGGGGTGATATAGTTATATATATATATATAATTTAGTAATATAAAATTGAAATTATATTTTCCAAATAATCACAATTGAAACTCCAGCTTCAAAAATCATACTTTTTTAAATGTTAATATTAGTTTGTGAATGAATTAAATATTAATGTATTTGTGAGTATTGGCATTAACCTGAAATAAAGAAAACTATTACCATAGAGGGTGTTTGGAAATTAGAAAATTAGGACAAAAATTGGAACCCCTTCTCAATCAGAGTCAAGACATTCATTAGAAAATGATTTAATTCATTAAAAAGGTGTTTATAAATTTTCCATAACCTCAAAAATAATTAAAATATTTAAATCTATAGTCAATAAATAATAAAAAAGCTTAATGTTGTTTTCCAAAAAAAATTATATTTATATAAGGAATAATAAAATATGTTTCCCTTTATAAGAATACAATATTTATAATAAATATACCGAGCTATTGTTTGATGCAATCTATCTTGATAATCTATAAAGCTTAAATAGCATTCCTTAACAATTAAACAATATTTAAAATATAAGTTATTATAAATTACCCTATTTGTAAATTGAAAATTTCTCAATATTGCACATACAATGTATGGTCTAATTAACTTTGTCTAAATATAAATAATATTTATGATATAATAAAAAAATATATATACATTTTTGGTTATGTATATTCTTTCTTCTTTATTAATACCTGGATCTCTGGCAAAAATTCTAGGTATAGATATTCTAAAAAAAATCATTAAATTTTGTTTTATTTCTTATTACTTTTGTATGTATACTAATAATGAATATACCAATCCTTCTAAGCACAACAGATCATATCTAATAATCATCTTATAAATAATTAACAAAAAAAAAATTAAAACCTATTAGCAGGCGTTTCAATTTTATATAAAACATCATCCTTTTTAATTGTCATATTATCGGTGAGCACACCTTTTTCCTTTAATTGTATTTCTATATCTGATGTCTGTAACAATTATATTATATCAATTTATTTTTAATAATTCTTACAATTTCATCAAGTTCTAAACCATAATCAAATAATAGTTCAGAAAACTCTTTATCGGCTAAAATAAAATTCAATAATTTCAAAAATTAGATTATGATATTACTATAATTCCTCCCCATGAGTTCAAATAACTTCGAACGATTTACTGATATTACTGGCATGCTTTTTTGAAAAATAAATAGGAATGTATGAATATTACGATCATTTATAATTTACTATCTCCAGACCCGTCAATTAATAGCTAAAAAATTATGGGATGAAAAAAATAATTTAAGAAATGCAAGCAAAAATAAATTATTGTTATTTTTAAATTTTATTACCAATAAACTTTATAAATATAATATATCACTGACGAAGCGGGAAGTTTTACTATTAGTGAGTATTTAAATTTTTTATTTGCAAAACCGTCCAAATATTAAGGTCTATTAATGAGCAGAATTTTTTTTTAAATAAAATTAACAAGTACTAATTTATAAAGTATTGTTAGGTAATAAAATTTGTTAATGAAGTAACGGGGCTTCAGATACAGGTACATTGGACGTAGTATTATTCATGGGAACAGTGGCTGAAGGGTCCTCTAACCCTTGAAATCTGGTAAGGGTCATGATTAGCTGGATATTAATTTTAATAAACTGCAAAAATTATTAATGACAGACATTTACAGAATTAATTAACACTATAAATATTTTAAAACTCAATATTTAATTAAACCGTACAATAATAGACTTTTATAAAACGCATTTAATTAATTATAAAAATTTATGAATTAAAATATAAGATGGTGATAAACATAAAAATTATTCTCTTTTATAAGAGAAATGAAGAGCGTATTTTATTTATAAATTGAAATAAAATTAACACAAAATATAAAAAAACGTTTTTATGAAGAGGAGTGTTAGTTTTCTCGTATATAAGTGATAAAATCAATCCCCTTATACTTTACGGAACTCTCATTATACCTCTCTATCAGGCGCGTATGCAGGAATTTGGTCTAGGTGGGGGATGAAAAAATTTTTTAAGAAATATTTTTGTTTTTTAAAAATATCAAGCATAAATTTATTAGGACTAATAACTATTCCCTAATACACAATTTTAAATTGTTGTAAATTATAAAAAAATTATATGTAAAGAATCACTTAAATGACCCAAAATAGAAATTTGAATTTTTTGAGCCTTTACACAAAAGGTTTCTTAGGAATAATTGTATATTGTATGTTATATATTTACAATGTGAATCCAATCTTCGTTGGGATTGAGCTAATTTTTTAATTATCTCATCCTTGCTTGTCGTCAAATGCCTATGAATATTCAAAAGATCCAAACCTTTCAATCTACTTTCAGATGTTGTACTTCTGATATGTTTTTCAGAGACCTGTAGGCCCGGCCTATGGGCCGGAGTATTTTAATTTTTTTAAATATACTCGGGCTGGGCCCGAATTTTTTAAAAAAAAACACCTAAGCCCGGCCTGAATTATTTTAAAAAAACACGCAGGCCGGGCTGTATTTTTTAAAACAGATATTTGAAATCGTTATTATTAGCTATAAAAATCAAAAATAAATATAATTTATTTTTTTAAAATACGGGCCAGGCCTGAAAATTTTATTTTTAAAAAAGCCAGGCCGGGTCTGAAATTTTTAAAAAGCCGAGCCGGGCCTAAAAAATTTTTTAAAAAAAGCTGGGCCGGGCCTGAAAATTTATTTTAAAAAACCCAGGCTTGGCCGTAAAAAATCTTTAAAAAAAATCCGGGCCGTGCCCTGCAAATGGTACTTCTGCAGGTCTCTGTTATTCTTCTTAAAAAAGAGAATATTCTCTCATTAGTTTACTAATGGGAAAAGTTTATAAACCCCTTATACATTGTGAATTTAATCTAAAATGTCTTTGAAATAATGCAGAGCATCCATAGCATTTTTTGGGACTATATCAACCATAATTAATCTTATAAACATAGTTATTCAGCTAGTAAGGCATCATAAGATACTTTAACATCTTCATAATAATAAAAATCTAATAAATATTTTTTTATCAAAGGTTGGGAAGGCGTGGAAGTAATATTTGCAGATTAGTAAGTACTGCATGATGAATTAAAAATTCATTTATTTGGGTTATAAATGTATCCGTATCTAAGATATACTCTTCTACTTATCCTATATTAATGTTTTAACGATGAGCTTGCCTTGCTACAATTCGAGGGAGACAAATATTAAACACGTATAGCTCTCTCTGCTTTTGACTCAACAATAAAATATAAAATATGAAATTCTTCATCAACGTTAGCCCTAATTTTCTTGAGTTCTGATAAAATGCTCTCCGCTATTTTCATCTTCTTAATCAAGTCAATGTCATGTTTTTGAAAAGTAATACTTTAAATAGCTGTATAATTAAATAATACATTCTAATGAGACATAAAATTTGAAATAAGCATTGAATCCAATAATTTTCTTGCTTCTGAGGAAATATTTCTTTCAGACGATTGTGATATTTCTGTAATAGCAAATAATTGGCTCTTCTAACTCCTTAAAAGCTGTTACTGCTTGATGGCAGAGGCTCAATCTCGTTAGACAAGGTTGCAATTTCTTTTTCCCTGTTGGGCCAGAAGTTTCAGAAATAATTATTATTTGACTAGAAATTTGAAAATGGTAGATAAATATTACGCCACTAAAAATTTGAAAATAATAAGTAAATATTACGCCGGAAAACTTGAAATCGAAATTAATTGATAAAATAACTTATGAATGTGATAATAAATGTAATTAAATATATATTTAATATGAGATACGAATAAATATTAACAAATATAAATTAATATAAACAATAATATTTTTGAAAAATATATCCGGCATCTGCATTTTTTGGCTTGGGGGGGGGGGGGGGATTTGTCTCCCTGCCCCCCCCCCCGCTGCGTACGCCAATGCTCTCTATTCTTGACGATCTCCGAGACCTAATTATCGAATTTATAAATAATGAACACCTTACTAAGGAATCCAAAAGTATAAAAACCCTAAGAAAGCAAAGACATGTTTTGCTTTTAATGTAACTTAATTAAACAAAAGAGGAACTTATAATTTTTATATATTTGTGGCGAAACAAAAGTGGGATAACAAAAACAATTTTTAATTTAAATAAGATTAAATCTTAATTATTGATTTTTAATTGAAATCAATGTTTGATATAATAATCGCATAGATTTATATTAATGTGTTGTTAAAAAGCCCGATTTGGTTGATTTTTCAAAACGACCCGATTAAAGATTTTAACTAAAATCATATTATGTAAGCATCAAAATTTGGCAAATAGATGTCCAAGCAATTCAGCCAGCTATGAGCAAAATCTTTAGGCTTGCATAATGTTATTTAGGTTACTATCTTAATAGGGCCGTTTTTTAAAATAGACCCGGATCGGGCTTTTTAACAACACTACCAACGCCCATACTATATTATCATAAAAACGTCTTTTATTTGGAAGCCATTTGCAAAGGAACAACCTTTATTTTAATAAGTCTATATTTTAATGATTTTAACTATAAAAATTTATGAATCTTTTTTATTTTTTATTTAAATCGCATGTAAATATAATTTACAAATATAATATTTTCCAAAAAGATATAATATAAAAATAATTAATTATTTTAAAAATTCATATTTTAAATATAAAGAAACAATAATTTAAGTAATAATAGAAAAATATTATTTATTTAAATTTAAAAATATGGAAATGTAATGAGAAAGGTAACCGATTCAGGAATTAATCAATGGGTGGAACGATAGTGATGTAGACAAATTAACCATAGGCCTGGAAGGAGTGATTCATATACTGATCAAAGTTTGGGACCGTATAGAAAATAAAGAGAAATTTTGCATAGAAGGAGTGTGGAAGTGAGACCAAGCATTGATTCTCGAGTGAGGGGGAGGATGAATTGTTATAATTGAGGAAAACAAGGACATATGGTCAGAGATTGTCGGAAGATGAAATATTTCAAATGTGGAAAAATGGTCATATAGGCCCTTATTGTCCAGTAAACAAGAGAAATTACGATGTCCGAGCTGTGGAAGATTTGGTCACAATAAAGAGAAAGTAAATACGGGGATTATAATACCAGAGGTAGTTTTGCACAGAGATTATTGGTACAAAATGCTTCAAATGTGAGTGGTATTAAAAATGAAAGAATTGATGAAATTATAATGCATAAACTGCAGGACAGTGAAGAGAAAACAGCGGAGTGTTTCAGATGTCGAGAACAGGGAAATATGGCATTGACTATATGATGGCAAATAAAATGCGACACAGATCAAGGCGAGGCAGTTAATAGTGACAAGTGAGATATATTCTCGGACAAAATAGATTTGATGGGATTGTAAATATGATACAAGAGGGGGTAGTACATCTTTGTCCTAGAGTGATGATAAATTTTAATGGGGGCATGGTTACCATGTTATTTGACACAGGGACGACTATTTCGATGATGGATTACGCTAAATATCGGATTATTTGGCCCGATGAAATGATAAAAATGAGGAGTTAAGAATTCCCCAATTTAATGGATCACAAGTGGTGGTAATGGGGAGAGTTGTAATATAGGCAGTAATGGAAGGAAGAGTAGATATATTAGATTTATGGATTATTAATCGGAGAGTAGAGTATTGGAGTGGGACTGGATCATACGAATCGGTCCGTGGTATAGTTTTTGGGGACTATTTTCATGGTGGGGTTTGTTTGTGCCAGTAACGAGTGAGGATATATAAGTGAGTAGAGCATACAAGAGTGTGAGAATACTGCTAGGAATTAAGGCTATCTTCCATCAGGAGAGAGAAGGAGTAGTGGAGCGAAGAGGGTAAACTGAAGGGGGGCGGACGTTGATGATAGGGGTGTATTGTTTAGAGATGTGGAAATAGGGGAAAATAATTCTAGTAGAGAAAATGCGGGGAATTTTAGGAGAATTGGGAGAAATAACTATATGAGAAAAATAAGAGGAAATCTACTATGAAAGAAATATTTGGGGGGGGGGGGGGGGTAATTTTATGAGAGAAATTGGGTGGAATAATTTTATAAGACAAATTCATGGTAATAATTTTATGAGAGGACTTGGGACGAATAATTTTATGAGAGAAATTGGAGGGAATAATTCCATGAAAGAAATCGGGGCGAATATTATAATAAATAATGGGGTATTTTTATTTTTTTTTAATGAAAATGAATTGAAAAAAATAAAGAAAGCGTGGAACGGCGATGATTAAGTTAAAGAAAACTAAAAATATTATTCTTTTTAGAAAAATAAAAAAACTTTTAGATGAAATCATTTTTTAAAATAAATTTGGTTTCTTTTAACATTAAAAGTCTTTAAATTTTATTATAAATTTGGAGATTTTTTATTTTATTTTCCTAGCTGGCACCTAGAGCATAAAAAATTATTATTTTGTCTATTTTTGTGATTTTTTATATATTAATTTAATTGTTTTTATATAAAAATAAATAAAATCATATCTTTTTAAAATGGTTTTTAAATAATTTTGATCTACTCTTTAAAAGCTTCAACTTTGTTTATGTTAGAAAACCTGCTTAATAAATATTTTACAATTGTGCGATAAAATCCATGCGTTTATTGAGCAATTATTATTTTAATTAATGATCTTCAACCCTGGCCCGACACAAATTTTTCTTAGAAAAATAAATTTGTTATATTAGGCCCGATCTTGAATAAAGATTTTTTCATTTATCCAGAGTTTGACCCGAAATAAAAATCAAGATTATTTTTTCGCCAGTCGTGGCCCGAATTTATTCAAATATGGAAAACAAGAATATTAAAATATTACAATTTGTGTAACAAAATTTAATATCTTATTTAAAAATTAAATTTAAACGGGCCGTGATTTGCAGATCTCTAATGTCAATCATATCCATCATAATTGATAATAAATCGATTCTTATAACTTCATCTGCATACAGAATGAGATAATGAAAAATATATAATTGCAAATCTTTTCAAAATTTCAATATTTAAATTGAAAAAATTTACCCATTTATCTTGTGCTTTCATTATCTTTATTATTAAATGTGTATTGAGTCTGACGGGGGATTTCTTAAAATTTTTAATGATGATATCATTTTAAAATTCATACAGCTTAGCTAATATAGTATGACCATAAATTATATAAAATCCCCTCTGTTGGTTAGCTATCATCAGACAAACCATTGCACATTTAAGATCAAGGGGTTCAACAGAAAAACGAAATTAAATATCTTGATTTTGAAATTTCTTTTTTATAAACATGTAATAAATATAAGTAAAGTATAAACTTTTTGCTTCAAGAAAAGTAGGTTTTTACAAATATTTTATAATCTACACATAAATTTATTTAACAACTTTGCTATAGCCTTGATTATCATTGAGAACAAAAGCTTCAATCAACACGTTTAAAATATATAGGTTTATTTATATTTGTTTCAAAAAAGTTTTAAATGAACGATTCTGACAATTGTCACTTTTCTATTGTGGGTACATCTTCATTGAATTTTCAATTTAACATGTTTACAAATATATATTTTAGGGATGTACTTATATTTTTTATCGGATCGGGCCAATATATCGCCCATTTTAAAATATCGGTTATCGGCCAATATTATAAAATTTTCCGATCCGATATAAATGGCGTTTTTAACAAAAATAAAATGTTATAAAATTTTTAAAAAAGTTATACCTAGAATCATTAATTTTTATAAATAAAATCGAAATCCATTTTTATGTTTATTTTTTCAATAATAATAATAATTAATTAATAAACATTCTGCCATATTGTTATTTTTGTGGATTCTGTTTATAAAATTGTGCGAGAATCTCTTCAGAATCTGTTTTTAGTGAGCTGGTGATATTGACAGTTACAATAGCCGCAGGCTGACCTCTAATAAATTGGAAATTTTGGTATTTCTAGAAAGAAATCATCGATATATTAATTTCGAATTTTATAATATATTTACTTATTATGTAAATAGATTAATGTTATTACTTATTATTTAAATAAATGATTTTTCAATAAAAATATTTTATATACTTTTAGAATTGTAATTGAATTGAATATAAACTATAACAGCTCATTATAATATATTTAAATGACATGTTATAGTTAGTTAAATTATAGATGTTATACTAATGAAAAGTATATTAAAAATTAAAATCATTGGTATCTTTACAGAATACAAAATTAGATAAGATATCGGATCGGTAATCGACCGATATTAATTTAATATCGGGAATATCGGATCAGATCGGCCTCCAAAAATGGTATCGGTACACCACTAAAATATTTTTACCCGTTTGCTTCAAAAAAGTTAAAAAAATAACGATTATGACAATTGTCACTTTTGTATGGTACATCTTTATTGAAATTTTAATTTAACAGTCTTAACATTTTTATAAATTCATTGCAACCATGGGTATTACAAATATGCGGCAATTTCTTAGATCGAAATTGAAGGGGCAGTAAGGAAATCAAATTAGTAAATATTAATAAAGATGGGCTGATATTTTTATTTTTAATTGAACAGATTGGAAGTTTCGAGGGACAGCTTTGTGCAGCCCATAAATGGGCTTGTTGGAGTGATTTTTTTTCGAAATCCATATGGGGGTTAAGAAAGGCGAACATACCTTCAATTCTCGAACCTAAAAGAATAAACTTAGGGCAAAATATCTCTCACCCTTTCGATATTGGGTCGCCCCTCCTTTGGGATTACACATGTATAGACGCAGTCACAGTATAGAATAATCGCTCCCGCTCTCCGTAAATGACAGAAAGCTATATATATTTTTTACTTTCAAACCATATTTATCCCACTTTTAGTACCAGGCAATTATGAGAAGTCCCTTATAAAATTTTTAAAAATATTGGGTATAAATTATTTTCGCAACACTGGGAGCTTTTATTCGCGAAGTCATAAAAGACGTATGCCGATATAACCTATCATTCATAGTTGTGATTGGGTAATGTTATTTAAATTCATGGATGCACGCTCATTATATATTTTTTAAGAACTTAGGAGACTAGCAGCTCTTTGCACCAAATAATACAAGACGTGATTGATGTTTTAAGAAATTTTTTAAATGTTAGCATTATACATACTACATAAAAATTAATATATTAAATTATAAACATGACCTGATGAGGATAAATTATCGATAACATTATATAGTAATTAATAATAGGAGTATAAAAATTACCCCTTTATAAAATAATATTAATATCAAAATAGTAGGTCGGCTACATTATGTTTTTATATTATATATTAAATTGTATTGCGATTCCAGCTTATCCGATTTCGAAAAATAAATTTATGATTGGAAGATATATTATATAAATATATATTTTTTAAAATGATTATAACACAATTAAAAGTTTGAAACAAAAAAAATTACTATATTAAATTAAATCCGAATAAAGGAATAATGTTTCACTTGAGGTTGCTTTCCCTATTTCATTTATTGTTAATTATAACATCTTGAATTTGTGTAGAAAAATTAAATATATTTACAACGATAGATAATGTTTAAAATAAAAATATTAACTAAACGATAAAATTAAGGCCATGTTAATGTAATTTATCTAATTCAGGTGCGAATTTATAATTTGAATATAAATTATTAAAAAATCAAAATGGAGGGATTGGTGCGTAAAATATATCTTGAATTAAAATAATTTAAGTAAGAAAAGCAATCATCCTCGAATATAAATAAATTTCACCTGAAAAAGAAATTTTTCTCAGAAGAAACATGAGCAAAAAAAACATATTTTGATATGGAAAATAAAAAATTAATTTCTTAAAAATTGGGAAGGTGAAAAATCGTATAAGAGGGACCATTGTGAAAATTTATAGATGCAAGGGAAAATATTTGAGGATTTAGCACATCCTCTAATATACAAAAAATTGTTACAACGAAAGGCATGTGGTGCATTCATTTTTATGTGCATATAATTTAAAAAAAACCCTATAATCCCCTCGCTCTAGTTTAGCAACCGTAAGTAGACAAACTAATTATCTATAAATTCAAGCAAAGGATCTTTTAGAGGGGGGAATAAGGTGCCGCGGCAAAGTTGTAGGTAATTCAAAGTTATCCAGCTTGAGTTTGATTAGATAACTTGTAAGAGCCCATTCTTCCTCGTCGAGAAATCCATCTTTATCTACGTCGGCCAACTTCCAAATCTTATGCAGTACCGAGTTGGGGAGCTTTGACTTTACCATCTCGGCCTTAGCTGCCGCTCCTGTCACCTTTCCATCTATGGGTCCCAAGGATCTGAAAATCGAGGTGCATGATTCTCTCTCGGGCATTCGGTCTACTATCCATCCGGCTTCACCCATTCCTCCCTCGAACCCTTCGCCACCCCCTCGACCTCCCTGTCGGAGAGTAAAAGGCACTACACATTTTTCCGGAAGTTGCTCAACAACTGAATCTTGATTTTCGAAGTGATTAGCGTGTTTATCGTCATCAATTATAGTATCGTGATTATAAACGTTATTCGAAACAGGCAATGGATCGTCCCCGAATATCCCGCCAGTTACCCGGTTTCTAACTGACCCAAAATCAGAATAGGATCGACCCGTGTCTGCCCGGTTACCAATTTCGGCTTTATTAACGGCTGCGGTTTCTGCCGACACCATGGACATCAGCTTAGCTATGTCGAAAGCAAGCATGTTATCGACAGTCTCCAAAAGTTTAGGTTTGAGTTTTTCGAACCGGGTAAAATCGTGGGTTTCTTAAAAATTGGAAAAAAAGTTCAAATAACTTTAAAAAATGATTAATATTATCAAATTGCTTTTTATAATTTCTAGGCGAGTACTAAACCATGACTATCAACAAATATGGCCATAATGAAAAAAAAAGTAGTATCATATTTATTTTTAAACAAAAAATTGACAAAATTATATAATGAACGATCGGGATTGATTTACCATCTGTTGCGAAGCGGAAGTCGCAAAAATTGAATCACGGCTATTAAAAAATTGTCATTTAAACTAAAAATTGTAAGTATTATGGAAAATACTCCCGACAGGTCATGGTCAATTTTGAAGGTTTTAAAAACAATTATAAAAGAGAGTGACCTTAATAGAACTAAAATATAAAATAATTTGAATATTAAAAAATTGCTTTACAACGAAAAGCAATTTAACAATATATAAAAAATATTAACGTTGGTTTTTAAAAAAAAATATATCCGCTATAACTCGAATATCGTATATAAAATATGTACCTAAAGCATGCTGCATGCGTTGTATGGGGGGAAAATCTCCGGGAGAAATTTGATGAGTTTTTTGAATTTCGGAATATATGCGATCGAGTGAATTTATGAGTTCCTTTTGCTTCTTTTCCTTGCCGAATACGGAAGGCATATCGCGTTTCAGGTAGCTTATTATATAGGCGTGAACCTTTAATAAGATATTTTTTTAAAAAATCAAATTTAAGTAATTTTTTTTAAAAATTTAAGATTGTCGTCCCTTGCTGAGTCAGTGACCAGTAATGTACCGATTTTTTATTATCGAATCGATAATTCATATTTTTAAAGAATTTGGGTAATCAGCCAATATATTGGGTAATTGGTCGATACGTTACATTAAAATGGCGAATAAATTATTTATTTGGAATAATAAATGAAACATGGAAATGTATTTTTTTTTAATGATAATTATTCTTTTTTAAACTGGAATAGCCCATTTGTTATATAATGCGTATTCATTTTATTGGTCTTAATTTTTTATTCGCTATGATACAGGAAATTTTTCCATGTTTAAAAATTGGACCAGTTGATATTGGTAATGGGCCTCTAAAAAAGCTGTATCAGTACATTAACCAAATAAAAATCAAACTAGGTAGACCGAACTATCTTTTTTTCGAGGTTTTTGTTATAAAAATTTTATCGGGTTTTGCTTATGATATTTAATTTTCTGCGGAATACTTTTTATTTCAAAAAGTGATAAAATAGCTAGCTGGGAAGGACAAGTCACCAGGAGGAAGGTATTAAAAGAAAGGATAGATGGATAAATTTAGCGCCTAAATTAAATAATCAATATAAAGTGAGAATTAGAAAAGTTTTTCAATCATGAAAGGAGATATTCCACTTCCAATCATATCGAAAAAAACGATCAATTATTTGTAAGGAGAAATTTATAAAAATCTAATGAAATTATCTGCTATATCGTGCAATTTAAGGTTGGTCAGAAACTTTCGATAGTTTTCTTTTATCAACGTCCTAGAAAAGATCAGTGTTAGTGTTTAATTTATATCAGAAACCTGTAGAACCATTTGCAAGGCCCGCCTTAGATGTTTTTCTTTAAAAAAAATATTCGGCCCGGTCCGGGTTCATATATTCAGGCCCGGCCCAGGATTTTTTAAAAATATCCTCCATATAGCAATATTGGAATAACTGTGGAATTAAAAATTCTTAGTCTGGTGTGTACAGATATTTCTTTTGTTTTCCATATTTTCATGTATTTATAAAAATTTCCTCTTGCTTTTTGTATTCTTATTTTCAGCTCTTCTTTATAACCTCCTGTGTTGTCAAACATGACGCCTAGATATTTTATTTTGTCAACTATTTTGATTTCATTTCCATCGATTGTGAAATTTAGTTTTGAGTTGCGTTTGGAGAAGAAAGGATACAAGTTTTTTTGAAATTTATTTTTAACCCCATTCTTAGGCTAAGGGTTCCTAATAAATATAGCATATCTTTCGTTTCTTCGAAGCTAGTCGATATGATGACTATGTCATCGGCATAAGATATTATTTTGTTTTCTAAACGTATTGTTGTGTTTGAGCTTATTTCTATTAGATTTGCGCATCCTAGGACCTCTTTTATAATTTTACTGATTATGATATTAAACAGTAACGGTAATAGAGTACAGCCTTGTTTCACACCTTTTTTTATTCTGAAGGTGGGGGATATTTTATTGTTGACTTTAAAGCAGGCAGATAGTTTAGAATAATGATTTCTCAGAATGTAGATAATATTGGGTTCGATCCCACTTTCCAAGAGTGTCCTCCATAGGGCCTCGTGATTCACAGTATCGAATGCTCTACTAAAATCTATAAAAGTGAAGAAGGCAGGGATTTTATATTTGTAGCATTTTTGTATTGTTATTTTTAATGCTAGAATTGGCTCTAGAATATTTTTATTTGGCCTATAAGCACAGATGTATTTGGGTAGTAAGTCTGGAATTGAAGACATGATCCTGTTTTTTAGAAGGACCATGAAAATCTTAGACACTGTAGATGTAAGGGCTACCGCACGATAGTCTTTAAACTCTCTTGGGTCATTTATTTTAGGAAAATTGAATAAATAGGACTTATTCCATTCTACAGGTATTTTGCCTTGCCACTATCCCAGATTTTGTTATATAGAGATAACAGGAAAGAGGATACAGTTTTGGGTGCTGTTTTTAGATGTTCCGCTGTTATATTATCAAGCCCAGGGGCTTTATTATTGCGTAATTTTTTAATTACTATTTCGATTTCCTCAGTGGAGAAACCGGATGGGGGTGGAGTTACATGCTCATTTGTGTTTGTCTGGCAGACGGCTTTTTTGAATCAAAGACTGTCATATAATAATCTAACCATAATGCTATTTGTTCATCTTGGTCCGAAATTAAATTTCCATTTGCTAAGAATAAAGAAGGTAGCTTCTTGAAACTGTAGGGTTTGCAGAAATATTTTAGTTTATTATAAACTTCATATATTCTGTTTTCTTTCATATCTTTCTCTATTTCAAACGCTTTTTTTGCCACAAATTTCCTTTAACACTTCTCAGCAATTTCTGTATCTCTTTCCAAAGTTCTCTGTTCAAGTTATTGTCTTCTCTAAGCTGGCTGATTTTTCCTACAGTTTCATTGGATAACCACTCTCTCCTTAAGTATACATTTATATTTGGTAACATGTTATAGTATATCTTTCTTGAAAAGATTCCAACATATATCTACGTTCCCATTTGAGGTTATATTTAGGAAATTTTCTCTCTTCCTGACCAACATTTGATCAAATTGTTGTATATCCTCTTGTGATTTTGCTTTTATTTGTTTACGGTTAAGGAGAGGTTTTAAGAAATTTATTCTATGTCTGGTCATATTTGGGCCTATCTCTTCGCGATATAATCATATATTTTTTATTGTCATTTTTGCCACTATCGCTCTGTGGTCTGACAATTTAATAATAGTGGACACTATAACATCGTCAAACCACCCATGAATATTTGATATAATGAAATCGATTTGAGATTTTTGGTTAGCTCTTACAAAGGTGTATGTGTTTATTTCTCGATGGAGAAAGAAGGTGTTTTCTATTTTGAAGTTTTTGTTTTTACAATAATCAAGTAATTTTTTACTATCTTCATTGTTGGTTTGTTGTATAGTTGCATTTCCGATAGTGTTGGTATTAATATATTCTACGCTTTTGCCAATTTTCAGATTGAGGTCTCCTAGTATTATAATGTTATGTCTCAATGGCAGAGAATCAATCAAGGTAGTGACTGTGTCAATAAAATTTAACCTATAATTTCTTCTTGGTGGGGCGTATATATTTACAATTATTGTCGGTTTGAATTTTGTGTTTAGATATAGGAGACCGCATCTTTCTGATATGGGTACAAATTTAATTAAAGATCTTTCTATCTTTTTGTTTGCTAGGAATGCGACTCCTGACCAGCTATTAGAGGTGGTACCGGAACAAAAGAGTTTATAATCTTTAAAATCTGCGGTATTATTCCCTGGGCGGTGGGTTTCTTGGATGCCAATCATATCTAATTTCATATATGCAAAATCTCTAAGCAGTACTGTTAATTTATTTTTCATTCCGTTTATATTTAGAGACGCAATCCATAACTTACCATAAACTGTGTGCTCCGAATTTATGGGTGCCATATTAATTACCGTTTTAAGATAGGAATCAAAATCTAAAAGTTTTGTAGACCAAAAAGAGAAATCAAAAGAATAACTATATTATTATTAACTATATGTTTCTCAAATGTGTTAAAGACTGGAGATAGGAGTATATAATTTAGTAACATAAGCAATTTTCCCAAAATAAATGACCCAAGAGAGTTTAAAGACTATCGTGCGGTAGCCCTTACATCTACAGTATTTAAGATTTTCATGGTCCATCTAAAAAACAGGATCATGTCTTCAATTCCAGACTTACTACCCAAATACATCTGTGCTTATAGGCCAAATAAAAATATTCTAGAGCCAATTCTAGCATTAAAAATAACAATACAAAAATGCTACAAATATAAAATCCCTGCCTTCTTCACTTTTATAGATTTTAGTAGAGCATTCGATACTGTGAATCACGAGGCCCTATGGAGGACACTCTTGGAAAGTGGGATCGAACCCAATATTATCTACATTCTGAGAAATCATTATTCTAAACTATCTGCCTGCTTTAAAGTCAACAATAAAATATCCCCCACCTTCAGAATAAAAAAAGGTGTGAAACAGGCTGTACTCTATCACCGTTACTGTTTAATATCATAATCAGTAAAATTATAAAAGAGGTCCTAGGATGCGCAAATCTAATAGAAATAAGCTCAAACACAACAATACGTTTAGAAAACAAAATAATATCTTATGCCGATGACATAGTCATCATATCGACTAGCTTCGAAGAAACGAAAGATATGCTATATTTATTAGGATTAAAAATAAATTTCAAAAAAACTTGTATCCTTTCTTCTCCAAACGCAACTCAAAATCTAAATTTCACAATCGATGGAAATGAAATCAAAATAGTTGACAAAATAAAATATCTAGGCGTCATGTTTGACAACACAGGAGGTTATAAAGAAGAGCTGAAAATAAGAATACAAAAAGCAAGAGGAGCCTTTTATAAATACATGAAAATATGGAAAACAAAAGAAATATCTGTACACACCAGACTAAGAATTTTTAATACCACAGTTATTCCAATATTGCTATATGGAGGAGATCTATGGGAATTAAACAAAACGGAGAACAGAAAATTACAATCATTCATAAATAACTGCCTCCGAATCATTAACGGAATCTTCTACCCGAGAGTAATATCCAACAATAATCTATGGAAGGTATCAAAACACACCCCAATAAACATTACCTTAAAAAAACGGCGCATTTAATTCCTCGCCCACATCATAAGGAACTCAGAACATAATCTAGTTCATGATGCAATTAAATGGCTATACACTTATAAAAAAAAGAATACACTAAATATAAATCCCTATGGTACTATAAAACAATAAAAGATGTTATGGAACTTAACTTAAACATGAAGCAATTCATCAAACTAAATAATTGCAAAAACTCTATCAAAAAACTTTTCCGTATTAAGGATAGATATCTGAAATAAATAATTTCTTAATATTTCTAAACCACTGTGTTGCTACTAGATCAGGACAAACTAAAAC